GTCAGGATTCAGGCGCGATACTGGTGACTGTAGTCATTGTCGCCGAGTCAGGCTCAGCAGATGACACGCCAAAGGAACATGGCCGAAAGGCTTTCAGAGCTGTGTTTCTGTTTTCTGGTTCAAGCCACGCGACTCGCGAAGGACCACAACAATCACTATACCAATCCAGGTAGCCCTGTCCTCCTGAATCGCGCTATTCGACGGAGTAATTTTTCGAAAGCCTCGAGAAGCCGGGTGGGGAACGACAAACTCTCATGCAAAACTTCCGTCTTCATGAATCTCACGATCTGAGACAATTGGCCGTGCACTTGACTCTGTTTGATCGTCCAGACTGAAACTATCCAGAAGACTGGAGCATCACTACAACGAAGCTCTAAATCGACGGGATATCCACCTTAAGCCACCCCATTGCTATTGATAGCAGCTTGAGATGGCACCGTCGCATCCTCATAAAATTGTATTGCTTTCACGCCCCAGGGCTCGGTAGGTTCCCACACCCAACCTCCTCGTTTTGTTCCATGCAAAGCTGGAGTGATCACCGATTGTGAATCAACATCATCCCCTATCGTGCTAGCGCCAAGGGGTCTATGCGCGCACCGGGCTAGCGGAACGCCGGAAACTGGATACTGTCCACGGTCGACTACTGCACTCCTGGTGGAGGTGAGAACGTGCGGGGGGAGGCCAAAAGAATGTATGGTAGAGGGGTTAGATGTCTATGCAAATTGCAAGCAGGGCTCGGTGGCTGACTCTCCCAACTTGACAAATTATCATTTAGCAGGCCAGCGCTGATCGTCCTTCAGCATTCAACTTCCAGGTATCTTACGATTATTCTGAAGGTTTCCCCGCAACTTCGCTCATAACTTCGTCAAGGTGACTAGCATTGCGCCCTCGCTTCACGGTCCTTCGGCATTACTACCTGGTTTGTTCCCGGGGGATTTCAACAACCCTCCACCATCCAAAATCCTATCCCGCAGAGCGAGCAGCTCGGATATACCGGAATTGGCTTCTGGAGACCCAGCATAAATCAAGCTGGTGCTGAAACACGCTCCAAGTCCAACAAAACCTGAAAAAAGTCTTGGGATCCATTCATCAGCCTCAACCACCATGGTTTCCACAGATTCTTTCCACCAGGGTCAGGCCTCAGCCATCGACTTGCCCAAAAAGCCTCGCTCCGGATTCTCCTGGGATAATTTACTCCCAAGAGGACACCATGGACAAGGCGGGAAGCGCCGAATACGACAATGACTCTCGCGCGGGCCACGTTCCATTCTCATTATGTTATTCGTCATCCAACAATCACTGTATACAACTACGGTGTAGGGATCAGTCCAGTGCGGGGGATTCCCAAGTAGTCAACGTGAACAACGATGACGGTGCCGGTTAATCCTTCTAACACACTGCAGGATTTGGCTGTCTTCCCAAAATCCAACGCCTTTGTATCCCGCTCAGACAGGAATCTGCTGTGTTGATCAAATCTCGACCCCGCTTTGAAGCCTTGAAGAGCAACCTGATGATGTCTTGCTCAATGAAATAACAAACGATGATTTGCTGTACGATTCGAACTCATCCTAATTGGGTGCCTTGCAGAACCTGAAACATCAGGTACAGTCTTATTTGATACAAGTGTGGCTCAACTGAAGCCCTGAAAACCCATTGGAGGGTGGCTTTGTTGAAACTGCCAAGAGTGAAGAATGCCGTCGAGGTAACAACAAGATACCAGCCAACTCCAACGATCATCCCAGAATTAACTCCGGTTCGCTTTTGCGGTTTCCCGATGCCATGATGTGGGAATAACACCAGGACGGTGGACAACGTGCACTTGAGCCGACGTAATGGGAAAGTTTGCTCCGCGTTCCTGGCGGGCTGGCAGGTTTGGCTTGATGGCTTTATTCCATTCCCGACCCCGGGCTTGAGTATGTTACTGCCCTCACACCACCGCAGTCAAAAACAGTTTACATCTAAAAGTCCGGGATTGCAAATTTCGATGTGGCTTTTCTTACCAAAATACGTACTGCCACGATCAACTCCTATGAGTGCTACGGACTCTCAATATTAATGAGACGTGTGGGAGCGAACAAACAACAGGCAAAGGGCTGAGATCCGTTCAGTCATATTCCATGACTCGCCCTAGATTAAGATCCTAAACTCTATTAAGACAAGTCAAGAGACTAAGATTGATGCACCTCCACTTGAAATGACTGATTCCAAAGCAGGGAAGCAGGAGTGTCATGCCAGGTTCAAACCTTTGTGCCTTCGGAGGTTTCACCATTTCTGGAGCAGTGCACTTAGGACGGCGCTATACTAGAATGAGGTTGGGGTGGCCTCTAAAACGGGCCAACGTGGAAGACACTAAGGTTTCAGATCCCCTTTTCCTCAGGTACCAGAGGTTCGGCTTGGCATCAAAGTGGGCAAGTTGGACCCGTGATCAAGCGCAGTCTGCGCCAAAGAACAGGTTCGGACCAGATCCATTCCATGGGATCGCTGCTCAGATTTGCTCGCAGAGTCTGCACGGTCGGTAACAGACTGAGACGTGAAACCGCCAGTGGGGAAAGAGCATTGGGCGTCCTCGCAAGGGAAAAGAAGAGCTTCCCTTCGAAAGACTCCAGCCGGCAGATACAGCCCGTCCGATCGTTCGAGACCAACCAAGGGTGGCAAGGAACTGGGTATGCAGAAAGCCACCTGCTCCAGTAGACCAATCGCAAGGGGAAAACTCCATACCCATATTCCCCAGTTCTAGCGACGGCCTCTGGTCTTTCCGCGACCTCGCGCCTTCCCACCTCCTCTTCGCGACGCCTGGACCTGCGAGATGTCCCGTTTACTCAAATTCAGGGTTCCACCCATGAATTTTCCGATAGAGGGACCCCCAACTCCCCGTTCACGTCGCTCGCTGCTCATCTGCTTCTTGGGTGCGGGTTTTTCAAGGATGATTCCGTTCTCTCGGGCCTCCCGTCGACGCTTGTCTTCCTTTGAAACAGCCTTAGCTTTGATGCCTTTGCGCATTGATGACGGCATGTTCTTTTGATGGTAGAGCGATTTCTTAGCCCCGAGTTCCTGCATGCGCAGATCAAGTGCCTTATGACGATTTTTGCCCGTCGGTGCAAGGTCGGAAGCTGACTCCAGAAGATGCGATTCTTTCAGAAGTCGCTGAAGCGCAAGATCGTTCTTTAAATTGAGTGTTTCGTCGTCTTTATTGTCTTCGTCATCGTCAGCTTTCTTAGAGCGGTCCGTAGTAGGCTTCAAATCCACATCAAATGATGGCGGCTTCGCTGTCTTTAGAGTTCAATATTAGTAAATATTACTTCGCGCGTCTTCCAGTCCAAGCTTACCATAAATGCCTTTCGAGCCCTCTTGTCTATTAGGTTGTCCGCCCCACGGGAAGGCGCCTGGTACTCAACTACTTCGACTGGAGTGTTTGCAGTCTCCGCGCCGTCGATGCCGCTCCATTCGGACTCAGACCCAGACTCAGACTCAGAATCCGCGCCGCTATCATTCTCACTGTCATTATCGGATTCGGATTCGGATTCATCCTGTTCGGCACTAGTCCCCTTGACTTCTAACGGCTCGAATTGGGCTTCGAAGAATTTGCGAAAGATATCTTGAGCGCTTTGTTGTTCTGTTGTGGCCTTTGCAGGGGAGTCCTCCTGGTTGTTTCCTTTCTTTGCCCTTGACATCACAGATGTCTCTCTTTTTCGTTTACCAACCATTTCTGCAAATCTGTGGGTTCAGGTATTTATTTTAGGCCGTAAAGATTGGAAAGTTTGGATTGTCAGGAAAGGCGGTGATTGTCAACTTTTTTCTCGTCTGGAGTAGATTTGTGTCACGTGCGATAAGATAGACGCATTTTAGAGGGGGATTGAAGATGCGAAAGTAGCCCCTCCAAACTGCAAAGCATATGCAAACAACCCTTCATTACAGTCCAGCAAAAGGCAACCCAAATACATTGAGTATTAAATAGAGAAAAGGACCAAGGAAATGACTCAATTCCGCCCCTGCATCGACCTCCACTCAGGACAAGTCAAGCAAATCGTCGGCGGCACTCTGAGCAACGTCGAGTCAGATCTGAAGACAAACTATGTATCAAAACTTCCAGCAGGCCACTATGCGGGCTTGTACCAGAAGCACAACCTCCGCGGTGGCCACGTTGTGAAGCTAGGCGCCGGCAATGATGATGCAGCTAAGGAAGCGCTGAGGACTTGGCCTGGGGGGCTGCAGGTTGCGGGTGGCATTACGGATGAGAATGCCCAGTATTGGATTGATCAGGGCGCTGATAAGGTGGGCCATCGGTCCTATATGCGTGCTTTGGTTTTATTTCTTATTCATTGAGCTAACCATCTTCACAGGTTATCATCACATCATTCCTTTTCCCGGAGGGCCAGTTCTCTCTTGAGCGGTTACAGTCTGTCCTCTCTGCTTTGGGGGGTGACAAGTCAAAGCTCGTTCTCGATCTGAGTTGTCGGAGAAAGGAAAATACGTGGTTTGTAGCTATGAACCGCTGGCAGACCATTACCGAGATGGAAGTTAATCAAGGTAAGTTAATATATATATATATTCCGTCTTTTCACCCCAAAGCTTATTGCTGGCCACGTGTACTAAGTGTCCATCCAGAATCAATATCATTGCTTGAGCCATACTGCTCCGAGTTTCTCATCCACGCTGCAGACGTAGAAGGATTGCAGCAGGGCGTTGATGAGGAGTTGGTATCAAGACTCGCGGAGTGGTGCTCCATACCTGTTACGTATGCTGGTGGAGCAAGGAGTTTGCAGGATCTTGAGAAAGTGCATGTTAGTAGTAAAGGCAAGGTAGATCTGACGATAGGGAGCGCGTTGGATATTTTCGGTGGTTCCGGGGTGACGTTTGATGAGTGTATTCAGTGGAACAAGGATCATTGATTTGGACAGGGGGCAAGCAGTATTGTACATTCGGGCCCTTCACTCTATTAATATATCAGCTTCATTTAGCATAAAGCATCTATAAACGAGATTTCGCATTTGATTTTCAATGAGGGAATTCAGATTGTTTCTATCAAAGCCAAAACGGTATATACATGCAGTGTGCGCGTAGAGCAAATCGCGTCCTTTCTAAGAGCATACCAGCTGTCGTTGAAAGAGACCACGCTTCTCTATGGCCTAGAGTTAATCTGTAGAATTATAGCGATAGTGACCATGTGTTGCTCTCGAACAGCAAAAAGAAACCTAATCATCGATTTGGAATACTGAAGGATCCATCCAAGGACGATTCTCAGAAACCCCACGACGCTCTAAGGCGCGTGGCATCAGACCCCATATACCCAAGCCGGGAATTCTACCTCCCGGCTCATCCCAGATAAATCGTGCGAAGAAATAAGATGGCATAAACGAGCGAAAGGCGCTTAATTCAGTGATATGGCACCGCCCCGGCGGGCTCGGATGTGTAGGTAGGCCTGGAAGGCGCAGAAAACAAAGAATCCCTAGGGTATATAAGATTAGTAAAACCATTGTACAACCGTATAATTCTGGGGAAACGGGGATATAACGTACAGCGTAGATAATCACAGCAGTAAATATCGAGGCGGCAACGGCTCCGCCGTCCTCCGGCTCACCTTCTGAGCCGGTGAATCCGTGGTGTTCGCTCTGTTTGTACCAGGCTGTTAGTCATCTGTAATAGCATGCTGCAGCTCATATTTCAGATATGGGGTTTCCATATCAAATATGAAACCAGGTATGATGCACGGGGAAAGTCGACGAACCTTGAATAGCGACCCAAGGACGGAGAGGATAACAATGGCGAAGAGGGAGATGACAACGCTACGATGAAAGGCGCTCGTCAGTTCATGGAATCAACACGGTCGCCTTTATCATGGGAGTTCATACCAGGACCAGGCGTTCAATGAAGATACGACAGGCTTCATTATGTCGTTGCGGCTTGATGTGCCAATAGAGAGATAGCGAAGTGGAGGTTTACCTGAGAGGGCAGGTCGATGAGAGGGCTACTTCGGCGATAGAACGATGGCCGGCTGGAGTTGGGATACAATATATGGCGCGAAAAAGCTGGGATGAAAGGAGAGATGGCTGAACTCGGAACGATGATGTTTGACGCTTGTGCGGCCTTCTGGAGGCGGCCGGGTTGAAGCTCTGGATGGGCGCAGCAGGCCTCGCCGCCTAAGCCGCTTTCGGCATCCACGTCAAGCCTCCAGTCCATCCAGCCTCATGAAACAATCCGTGGAATAGATTCAGTAGTGTCTTCTATGTAAGTTATGTAAACGATGAAATGCCACATAATCTCTCAAAATTTTTAGGTTTTGTAATATGCTACTGTTCTAAATTAAGTATGCGCCACGATGCTTCCGTCATAAGAGTCCCAACGACTCATTGAAAATGTATGTACAAGCAATCTTAGCCTGCGTTGATGACATCGCTATATTCAATAAATGTCGTCAAAAAAATATAGCCACCGGGAAAACACTCCATGAAACGCCAATCCAGTCTCAACTCAGAACTTTTGTACACCTGCGTGTCCGCCTGAGGTATCATGAATCATATCTGTAATCGCAAGAAAAAAACAAAAATAGTTTTGACCGTTCCTATACTTTTAATATTCCTCTCCTTCGATCGGCTCAAGCATCTTGGACATGTAGGGGCCGTCCAATGTATACCCAAGGCGAGCATAGTAACTGCGGACACCAACACCTGAAATGACGCTGATCTTTTGGCTGCCGTGTTCCTCCCGTGCAATCCGTTCAGCCTCCTCCATCAACAGGGTTCCGAAGCCTCGATGTTGGAACTTACGCGGATCACGCCCGTGGAGCGGAACAGCGGAGCCATACACGTGCAGTTCACGAATGATGCTAGTTTGCTGACCTGTAAACTCGGGGCGGAATGTATGCGTCGAGCTGCACTTGCGCAGACGCAAAAGACCAATCAGGATATCTTGCTTGGGATCCTCATAGGCGAGGAAGGTCTCCCAACCACCGTTGGCCGCATAGTCACGACGAATAAGCTCCACTTGGGACGGGCGAATCTTGTTTTTGACCTCGTTGATGCCAACTTCCCGTGTGCGAACATCTCGACACGTCGTGCCAAAGTCTTTCATGCGCGCTAGAGCCAGCTCCCGCAGATTACCATTCTCAACTCCCGAAGTAACCAACGGCATCGGGATATCTCGCTGAACTCGATAGATACGGGTCCAGGGTGGCACAAGTGCGAGAATACGAGCAACAAGGTCGATAAGCGCATTTGGAGTATAGTTTTTGTAACGACCCGTCCTCCAGAGCTCGTAAAGACCGGTTCCGCGAATGACAAGCGTGGGGTAAATCTTCAGCCCATCAGTTCGAAAGTCTGGGTTCTCGAAATACTCCTCGAATTGAAACAAATCACGCTCCATGCCCACGTTAGGCAAGTCAGGCATCATGTGGCTGACGACTTTGAATCCTGCATCTTTTGAAAGCTTGAAAGTTTCTGCCACAGCAGCAACGGTGTGACCACGGTTTGTATCTCTCGCAACATCCTCGTATAGACTTTGGACCCCAACCTCGAGTCTTGTACATCCGTATCGAAGCATGCTACTCAAGTGTGTGTCCAAACAGTAATCGGGGCGAGTTTCAATAGTTATTCCCACGCACTTGATATTACTCATTTCCCCAGCCTGGACTGCTTCATCGACGTTGTCGGTCTGGTAGCCACTCAGCGCATTGTGAAGTTGGGCGACGAATGAGTCTCGGTATTCTGCCGGCAGAGACATAAAGGTTCCTCCCATGATAATGTATTCGACCTTGTCCACGCTGTGACCAAGCGACTTGATTTGATCAACTCTTCCTCTTGCCTGCTCGAACGGGTCATATCGGGCGCGGATTGCTCGCATCGATGTGGGTTCATAACCAGTATAAGACTGTGTAGAATATTCAAAGTCCGAATCGGGGCCGCCGGGGCAATAGACACAAATGTTACCGGTATAGGCGATATGGGGGCAACGGTGGGGTTTGCTCATAACAGCTACAACAGCGATACCAGAGGACGTTCCTAACGATAAGAATAAGCAAGGGTTCTATTAGATGGGACGACGAAACAAGACATACTGATTGGCTTCGCAATCAACTTCGGGAGGATATATTTCTTGTAGTGCTCAGGGACAGCCGAGATGATGGCTGTCAAAGGCGGCTGGCTGCCCAAGACGTGCTTTTTCGCGATTTGACCGCGCAGCTTATTGAGGTTGATATCCTTCCTAGGTTTCGTAGGATCCTTCTGCGACTCATAATCCTGGATCAAAGCATTTGCGATATCAGAGCATGCCCTCATATACCGTTCATTTTCAGGTGGCAGCTTGAGGCTCTTCTTCGATTTGGTGGGTGGCGGGGCTGTCATTGTGATAGTTGCCATGATGGGAGGCTACCTCGCGTCGACCGCGGGGATGGACGGATTAACGGTAAGATAGATGTGTAGCCTGGAACTAGATTGAAACGAGCTTAAACAAGTAAAAAATGGGGGTAAGTGACAGTAGTTCAAAGCAATCACTGCATCGGCCACTGATAGCGGGAGAGGAAGAAAAATCAAGGCCGAGTGAGGCCGACCGCCCGCGATAATTCGGACCGCTTAAAGCTTTCTCCCGAACAAATGGCCAAACCCGTGTTTCCAACAGACGATTGCTTCAGTCTCTACTACTGCCTCTTCTTCCCAATCCCCCTTCACATAACCTCAAGGTCTTAATTGCCCGTCTCGCGGTGCAATCTTCCCTCTCTACTCTATATTCCCCTTTTTTTCAACTTCGCATTCCCGTTCGTCAGCCGACATGCAAGCTATTCGCCGGAACGCGGTGTCTGCCCTTCGAAACGCTGCTGCCACCCAGCGCCGGGCATACACCCCTGGTCCTTACTCTGAGACCGTCAACAACCTTCGCATCAATGGCGACACGAAGGTTCTCTTCCAGGGGTTCACCGGAAAGCAGGGAACGTACGTGGCTTCTACCGGAATTTGCGGGATTTATATTCGAATATGATACTGACATGCGCTGATAGTTTCCACGCCGAACAAGCGATCGCCTACGGTATTTATTGCTATTTCCATATCACTCGGCTTTACGCGCCGGATTGGCCTGAGTCGGACGCTTACATATACCAGGTACCAAGGTTGTTGGTGGTACCAACCCCAAGAAGGCCGGCTCTACGCATTTAGATCTCCCGGTCTTCGCCAATGTTAGCGACGCAGTTAAGCAGACGGGTGCCACTGCATCTGCCATTTTCGTTCCGTATGCTTTAAACTCTCGAAACCTGATTCTTTATTATAAAACAGCGCTGATAAACGGGATGCAGCCCTCCCTTGGCTGCCAAGGGTATCGAGGAAGCAGTTGAGGCTGAAATGCCTCTAGTTGTCTGGTAGGATCTGACTTGATTCGGGAAATCACGTATTATATGGCTAACCGGTGTGGTTTTTCACAGTATCACCGAGGGCATCCCTCAACACGGTATGAAAGCAGCCATACGTCGTACTTATAACTCGTGCATAAGCTAATAAAAACGTACTAGACATGGTCCGCATTACCGACATTCTGAAGACTCAGAACAAGACTCGTCTGGTCGGCCCTAACTGCCCCGGTATCATTGCTCCCGTAAGTACCAGTAGCTACCCGGTTTCTCCATAAAACGACTCGCACTAACAAGGTTACGTTGAATCTTGCAGGGTCAATGCAAGATTGGTATCATGCCTGGGTTCATCCACAAGCGTGGTCGCGTCGGTATCGTCTCCCGTTCTGGTACCCTCACATACGAAGCTGTCAACCAGACCACTCAGGCCGGTCTCGGCCAGTCTCTCGTTGTTGGCATTGGTGGTGACCCCTTCTCCGGTACCAACTTCATCGACTGCTTGCGTATCTTCCTTGAGGACGAGGAGACCGATGGTATCATTATGATCGGTGAGATCGGTGGCAGCGCTGAGGAAGATGCTGCCGAATTCTTCAAGGCCAACAACAGGCACAACAAGCCTGCCGTTAGCTTCATTGCTGGTATCAGTGCTCCCCCGGGCCGCCGTATGGGCCACGCTGGTGCCATTGTTAGTGGTGGCAAGGGCGGTGCCGACTCCAAGATCTCTGCTCTTCAAGATGCAGGTGTCGTTGTTGAGCGCAGCCCCGCTGCTCTAGGCAAGTCGCTCCTTGCCGAGTTTGTGAAGAGGGACTTGGTTTAAAGTTCATTCTGGGCAACTTCTTTTCGTACTTTGGCTGGGGATTATTGTCCAAATCAAGTTTTGGTGCTGAGGTAACCATTGAATTGGTTGCTTGAGTGTCAAGGCGATGGTCAAATATTTCTCTAGCTCTCCGCTAGATTCCCGCTCTTGGAACCCTCCTGTACTTTTCCTTTCTGTCATTGTCATTTCATATGTTTAGAGATGGTAGGAAGTAACTAGTTTCCTCATGTAAATTTTGAATATCTATTTTGTTTCCTGTATCTCTGAAATTTAAATATCATCTGAGATTGGGTTGTCAGTGGGCGACATCACCTGTAGTATCTTTTTATTGGTGAGTCGTTGGCGTGGTTTCCCTTTTGTTTACGGAGATAAAATTCCCATCAAGTCTCAGCAGTCAAACGCCCGTTATATATGTATCCATACTTAAACTGAGTATGCGATCTCCGGAACTCCGGAAGATCTATATATATGCCGCTACAAGCCACCCGAAACTTGTGCTCACCTGGGAATGTTGGAGGATTGGTTTTTATACGAATAGATAAAATAGGGGACTACAATAACTTGAATGCTCAAAGTTTACAGCTGAAAACAAGGCAATGGTGCCTAAACAATGGCAGCTTGGGCCTGAGGAATGACAGTCTTACATAAGGCGCACGTGATCCACGAGATTGTTTTCGTTGCTTGAGGAACGGCCGACTCTGTTTATTCCTGCTTGTCCCTCGAACATTGACAATTCCACGCCCAAAACGCCATGAGCCTCCGAGAACCCGACGCCTGACAGAGTGAGTATACGACTAATTTATTTTGGACTTCTTGACTATTTGTCTTTTTTTTCTTTAATCCGGGGTTGTCTCCTCGCGGTGGCACCAAGTCGGCTCTGAGGAAGGATCAAAACAGACGGGCGCTACTTAACCTATTATTACTGCCCGTGGTTACCCACTGTTTTGCACCTAGCAACGAGCAAGAACCCAAGCAACACCACCACTATTCGACGTGCTGCGTGCAATAGCGTCTGAAAAAGGAAGATGCCACCTGATATTGGTAAGGCGCTGCATTTCCCTGCGGGATATCTGTTTTTATCCATCCAATGCTCTTCGGGCTGCACCTCGTCCCGACTTGCTGCATTGCTTGCTGACCCATGGTGACACCAGGTCGCGCAGCCTCTTTGTCTTCTAGTGCTGCCTCCCAGACAACTCAAATAGTCGCCCCTCATAGTCGTCCTGGCACTGCTGATCTCATGAGATCGCGATCAGAAACCGTAATATCTCGAAATAGCCGTCGCCCGCGGTCGAGAGGTTCGACCGCTAGTATCCATTCGACCACAACCCAACAAACCCAAGACCAGCAACTCAATGATGGGTTTTCCCAGTTCTTGCCGGCCCAGGCGTCTGCCGGATCCAATGTTTTCAGCAATAACCCAGAGGATATTATTATGCGATTCGGCCAGCAACTGTCGCACCAGGTGAATGGAACCTCTTTGGATCCGACAATGCAAGATGGGCATCATGCTGTTATGCCCAGGGCTGATGACTTCCCTAATCATGCTATTCATCGTCATCATCTATCACATCATTCCATGCCGTCTGGAATTCCCGGTCATGGGTTACCAAATGTTGCCATACCTCAGTACCAAAGCATGTACGACAGTGGGATTGAGAACCACCTACCGGAGCATGTTCTCGATGACCATGATACCTCTGAAGCAGGAATTAAGAAGAAAAAGGGCTCAAGTTCATCCCTTGCCAACGACAACGAGCTGCGGAAACTTCTGCGCCAATATGAAGGTTATACGCTAAAGCAGATGGCAGCAGAAGTCCTCAAACATGAGGGCGCTGGTGGCAAGGCCGAGAAAGTTAAACAGGTCTTCGCGATGATCTGGTAAGTTCTGAGATGAGAATATTGTTGCCTTGTATGCGTTTCTTACTCGCTATAGGCTGAGAGAGAACTGCCGGAAAAGTACCGGCTCTGTCCGACGAGACCGTGTTTATTGCTGCTATGCAGAGAAGTGTGGAACTGAGCGCGTCTCAGTATTGAACCCTGCCTCATTCGGAAAACTCGTACGAATAATATTCCCAAATGTACAGACGCGCCGTTTAGGCGTTAGGGGAGAATCAAAATACCACTATGTCGATTTAACGGTGATCGAGGAGAAACAACAGAAACCGTCGCCTCCAGCCACGCGGTTCCCATCCCAGGAACCAACAACTATTGCTACCGCAGAAAGCAGGAATGGCGACGATATACAAAAAGGGTAAGTGGATTGTCCCAAGTTACAGGGTTAATATGCGTCGTGGACTGACATGGTTTATAGTGCAAGTGTATTACCGCAACCTACCGCAGATACAGCACTTTTTCCTTCTCCTACTACTTCCTTTGCACCAAAGGTAACAACTGACACAGCAACTTCTGGCTGTGGCTGTCAATCTTCTGAGGGCGACGTCATTACGCTTGAGAATGTCGCTAGCCATTCCGGAAAATTGATTCACCAAATGCTTCAGTTGCCTACCATGGATAGTTCCTCGGTTGACACCGACTCCTTGCAACTGCCGGATATCAATGGTTATCTTCCCGCCAACACTGATTCCAAGGTGGCAGCAGCTCTTGCTGCGCTTTACCGTTCCCACTGTATCTCGGTCATCGATAGCTTCCGGTATTGCAAAGAGCGCAATATGCTTAGATATTTCTCTGCGTTCCATGGCACCTTGACGGTTCCGGTTCAAAAGCTTCTGACGCATCCTAACATTGCGCCATGGATCAAAGAGTGCGATTGGCTTATGTACCAGAAGATGATTGCGTTTGTGGCACCACTGACTACGCAAGTCGTCCCGAAACTTGTTTTGGATGCGTTCAGCTCGATATCGCAGCGACTTACTACCCATATCAGTGACACATTCAAGACCCAACCTGTGCATGTTTCCCTTGCGAGGCTGATACCGGCCCACATATTTTGCAATCTTTTGAGGCATATGCTCGATGTGAATCAATCTGCCAACGCTGCAGCAGCTTGGCTTTGTCACCCCGACAACAGGAACCAGATGTGGCTTGACTTCATGACACTGGTTGACCCCAAAGAAATGATGACAAGGGCGAATATTCCTAGCTGTGCAGAACAGGCTACGGAACGGATATTGAAGCATGATATCCGCGCTCTCCTCACCCCCATTACGGACTTGAACCCTGCTACTTCCAACTCCTTTTTTGCCCAACCTGACATGGAAGAGAGCTCTGAAGCCCACAAATTTCCTGTCGAGGAGTCTGTCGGAGACGAGTACAACTTTCCAGACAAGTGGATTTCCTTCATCCTAAATCTGGCTCACATCTTCCCTCAACACCGCACACAGTGTGTTATTCAACGTGTGGATGCATTGTGGGATTGTATTTTACGCCGTCTAACGCTGGGAGGAGCCCAGAGTTTTAGTGCATGGTGGATGACTAAGGTATTTTTCCATGAAATGATGTTATGGCAAGCAGAGAAGGGTGGATTCATGCATTACACACCTAGTGCTCTGCAAAAATCAGACTTGGACTCTGACCAGTCCGGACCTGGGGGCTTGATTGTGAAGGATTCTTCTCATGCTGTCGGCAACAAGGAACAAACTACGACGCCGGATGCCCAAAATGGTACATCACTTGAGCCGTCACGGACGGAGGTTGAAACAAACTTGAATCACGTCGAAAATGAGAAACCCACTAATATCACCGAAAACCTAACGCCCTTCCATGCCCCGAATCACGACGACAGCGCTATTGATCTTGATGACGACTCAATGCTACTGACGGTGGGGAAGTACGGTGATATGATGGCCTCCGACCCAGCAGATGCGGAAGGTGATGTTGTCGTTATCTAATTTCCCCGCCACGCGAGTTGGATTTCTACTTTCTTACATTTTGGGAAAGAACAAAATTATGCTTCTTCATGGTGGAGTTGGATTGGGAATTCTTTCTTTTTTTGTTACTAGGAGTATATATGTTTTGGTTGGTCTACAAGGAAGGATTCGGCGTTGGACTATTATTGCACGAGAGACGAGAGACGAAAGCATCGATTCTGGATTCGTCGGCCAACAGCATTGTGATTTGATGCTTTTTCCTGGCTGGCAGAAGAACGGGTCTCACAGCGTGGTTAAACTCGTTTCAAGACCTTGACCGGCTTTTGTCTAGCCCTATTTTTGCTTACTTCTTTGCTCATAAGGGGCGGTCGTCCCTGTAAATATTGATTTGCCATTGGATTGCAGCTGATTCACCATTATGCCGACGGTTAATAGGCGTCTTTTTTACCTTTGAGCTTGTTTAATTACCTTCTGTTTATGACATTCCATCCTTGCGGCAAATACATAGCTATCTTGAGTTGGATAGTTTTCTAATGCACTTTTGATGAAGCTGCATTTTTCAAGACCTTTGTGATACCACATTGTACGATATACTACTGTATGTAGAGAGGAAGGTTTTCGGTATTCATGCACTACAGTTTGATTTCATGATGGGTAAATGATGCGCCCCCACGTTTTCATTATGGGAAGGGCGATAATATGTATCAGGCTCATCAAAAAATGTACAAGAGAACACGGGGCGACATGCTCATTAAAGCCATGGTCGAAACCGCATTTAGCACCTGCTAACAAAGTACTATAGACTGGGCGACCTTTTTAACGAAGAGTCTGCCAGAGTCTATACGTACTTCGTATGGTGCCTAGTGGCCGTGTGCATCCCAACTATTCGCAACGCAGCGTATCACACGCTATTATATGAGTTGCGGTACTCAGGTAGTATCCATGCTGCGCCTGGCCGGGCCTGTGACTGGATTGAGATAGTAGAGCGATACCATGGATTGATGCCGGATTATCTCGCACCATTGCTTCTTCGCGGAATTGGCATTGGTCATCTGAGCCCGGCGGCGGGGAAGAACCTTGGCCCAGCAAACCCATGAGCAACGACGCTTTGAATATCTATGTTACCGGCATTGTACGGACTCCATAGTTTTATCAGGATGTAACGGCCCGATCTGTAATGAAGGGAAGGAGGTTAGATGAGATTGAAGGAGACCACAAGAGCAGAACGGACTTGAGACTTACGGTGGAGGATCGAAATTGAGGCTAACGCTACTCTTAGGCCGCTTGATGAAGAATTGAGCAAGGGGTTTCATCAGTCCAACGCCTGTAGAACGAGCAGTTGGTCCAGGGTGCGGCGCCGAGGGGGCAGCTGGTGGTATGGGCTGTATTGTGTTTGGAACATGACGACGCCGCGGTAATTCATCTTGCTCCAAGGCATATTGACGACGCATGGCCCGTACCTGCCTTTGCAGATCACGCCGTCGTGAATTGTATGAGTGGGTCTCAGAAGTGTCGTCCTCATCACTACCGCTGTCCTCAGTGTCCGAACAGAGGAAATCATCATTCATTGGGTACATCGTGCCAACCCTCTCCAACCTTGTCGGTTCAGGTGCCTGGGGTATGGAGAAGTGGTCTCCAGGCCTGTCAAGCCCAGTACCATCAGAGCGCTCGTCATAGTATGTAGTGACATGAAACTCAGATGTCTGGTCTGTATTATAGCTGGGAGAGGCACCGGCAGGTTCACTAGTGTCTGTATCTGAGTCCGAAGGAGAGTCGAAGCCGGCTAGAGATTCTCGTTCAAGGGTCTGTAGGGGAGTTCGATATGAATTCATGTATTCCTGAGACGGCTGCATTCCGCTGCGCCGATGAGCACGATGGCTCCGAGAGCCAGCATACTGAATCTGATACTGAGAAGTGCGAGCAAGAAGGTCGTCGGCTGACATAGAAACGAAAACCATGCCTGCTTGTATCCTGATAAGAGGTGAAATATTAGCGGATATAGCTGCGATTCGAAGAGCTTCGAATTGAACATACGGAGCATCATAGCCAGATTTGGGCGCTTTGATGACGAGCTTCTTCAGACAGAATGGCGCCTCCCCACGATGTTTCAGGATCAGATTACAGCGGTCCGATTTTGTGCAATATACGGACGAGTCATTCAAGAGGATGTTTTCCGGCCCGGAGGTTTCACATACGGGTTCGTAAGTGCCCCCATCGCAACTGGCCAACTCCATTTTCAACGTTCCTGGCACGACTTGACCGTATTGTCCATATCTCAGATTTTGTAAGTTCTCTCTGTTATCATCCGAGTCAAGCTTTCTGCGCTTGACCCTCAATCGGTCCGTTGGAGTGTCGTGATCCGGTTCCAAAGGCATGGTGGATGGCGAATCTATATGAGGAATCGGCGAATCTAGGATGGAATCTCGATTCCTTCTAGTCCGGCCAGGTCGGTCATTGCTTCTAAAGCCACGGGATCTCGAAGCTCTGCTGATTGACCGTGATATTCCAGAAGGACTTGGGTCGTGATTCATAATTACGGCGTCCAGATTTTGCAGCCTCTGCAATCCTGGATGTATCGGGCCTGACCTCGTACCATGAGTATGGTCTCCCCTGGAAGCCTGCTCTCTTTGTAGGTCTCGAATTTGCTGATCCACGAATGCCCTGGTTTGATCAAACGAATATCGGTCCCTCGCGCGCTCGGAGCGAGACTCCTCTAGCTCTTGGTTAAGAGTCTCCAAGGCTCGAGCGGAAGTGCTTCGGTTTCTATCAGTGTTTAATAAATCCCGTAGATGCTGTAGACGGTTCGCGTTTGGCCGATGTAGACGATCACTGGGTCTGCTTCCTCGGGCGGTACGACGGGAAGCGGGAGGATAGTCATAATTCCCCGACTAGAGATGAGAGGACAAGTAAGCCAGGGTTTGTCAGGTTGCCCCCTCGGTGCTAATACAAGGAATTTCTGCCTTGGGCGGATACGGCAGCAAGATTTGGTTTCAACGTACCATTCTATCGATCGGGAGCCTCGTTAGTCCGACTGGTCAAGGTAGGTGATAGGAGGGGGAGGGCGGAGACAGAAGGAACCATACCGGGGCAAACGGAGAGCGTATGGATGCGGAACGAACTATGCGGAGGTACACGAAAGGCAGGATGCAAAGAGGCCCGATCGACAGCAGCGAGGCAAAATGACGGTGAGCAGGGACAGAGTAACTGGGCGAGGGAGATGGAGGGGGAGCAGTGCAGTGGTAGGCGGATGACGCTCCGGGGAAGCGAGCTAGAGGCGATAAACGGGCCAGCGCTTATCTGCCGGCGCACGTGATGTCCTATTGTGGTGGTGTGCTTTCACTTTGTACTTCAATAGTCCGCATCCTCCATCCTCGAATCACTTGCTGCTGGCAATCGGCTGGCTGGGCGTCTTTGCTGGCTTCATGCATGTTGGTGACACATTGAGTGATGCTCAATTGTTTCCCCCGCCCCTCTTCTCGCGTTTCCCCTCCCTGCGCCCGGCACTCTTCGTCCAACGTTGCCGTGTTATTATCCCTCTCGCTTCGCCGTGACGCTAGAAGCTAGTCTTTATCTACTTCCCCCGCCCCCGTTACTGGCATACGTTACGTTCGCATTGATCTGACTGTCGCCACCACCATATCAACTCGTTACCAAGCTGCGCACGAGTGGATCTCACTATGGAGTCGCAAGACCAGTCAATTAGCGCCGGTATGAATAACGTCTCTTGATGTTAGTGCACTTGCGGGGTGTTTTACAGTATCTGACATTTCTGTCCACCAGATGAGATTGCGTTGTACGATCGCCAGATCCGCCTTTGGGGTGTGAAGGCCCAAGAAAAGTGAGTGAGAACCAGCGACTATAGCGGCCAGTAGTGCTCTTAACTGACTGTGAGCCGTACTTTATTAGACTGCGGTCCGCAAACATTCTCCTCATAACCTTCAAGGCGCTCGCAAATGAAGTCGCTAAGAACCTGGTTTTGGCCGGCATCGGTAGCCTCACTATAATCGACGATGCAATCGCGACAGAGGAAGATCTTGGAGCGCAGTTCTTCCTTACACAAGACTGTGTCGGCCAGAATGTATTTTCCCGCCCCAGTATTGTTGGTTGTTACAAAATGTGCTAACACTTTTCCAGCGAGCCCAAGCTGCCGTCCCGGCTATCCGCTCTATGAACCCAAGAGTCCAGGTTTTTGCAGATGCGAGCAGCGTGTCTACCAAGCCACCGGATTTCTTCGGTCAGTTCGACGTAACGATCGCTACCGAGCTGGATTTCTCAATGTACAACACTATAAATGCGGCCTGTCGCATAGCTGGACGCTCATTCTATGCAGCTGGACTGCACGGGTTCTACGGATTTGTTTTCTCTGATCTTATTCAGCATGACTTTGTGATCGAACGGGCTAAATCAAACGTCCCATCAGCTTCCCAGGAAACACCTACACGAAGTATACTGAACATCACGACTAAGAAAGAGAATGATAAAATCATCGAAATGGTCACGAAGAGGGAGATGTATTCTCCTTTGCTCCTAGCAAACACCTCTCCACTCCCGGACGAATTTACCCGCCTACCCCGCCGCAGAAAACAAGTTACGCCATTCCTGAGCTGCCTCCGGGCTCTTTGGGAATTCCAAAAGCTTAGCCAAGGCACACTGCCATCATCTTCCCGTCAAGATCTAGAGCTATTCACCAAGTTAGCCCGTGATGCGCACCAGGAATTAAAGCTCGACATCAGCACCCTTGACTCTGCGTTCCTACGGACTTTCCTTCAGAACCTTGGCAGCGAGCTGAGTCCAGTGGCCGCTTTCTTAGGAGGCAGCTTGGCTCAAGACGTGATTAATGTCCTGAGTGCCCGTGAGCAGCCTCTCCAAAATCTCTTACTGTTCGATGGCGACAAATCAGTTGCGCCCACTTATCCGTTGCACCCATTCTTCCCTATGGATATGGGAAATGCAATGCCTGCTGTACCTCCAGTTGCAAATCCGACACCGTTGAATGGCCAACCAAGCATGGGTCAGATATAAAATGTATCTGGGTGCACATGAAGGCGTCGAAATCCTTGAAGGATGTTAAATGATTGGACAAAGTCCTACACGCACGCACACACACACACGCACACAGGGCGAGGAAGGAAAAAGGATCATGGGATTTCGGGATTGATTTATTGGCGTAGCATTTAACTTTACTTCTTTACGTTCAAGCCTACGTCCTATTTGGACCGGGAATGAACTTACGACTGTATGATAGGATTTTAACAATCGGACAGGAATCGATGAAGGGGGCTCAGGATAATTCGAGACCCGGATTTTTTTTTTCCCCCATTTATTTACTCATTTACCTTCTTGGGCTACGGCTCCTGTTGAATCTAGGAAATTGGGATCTTGGGATATGTTTCTATACATGAATGGGTAGGATCATACACTCAAAACGCCAACCGGTGCCAAGTCATGAGGTAGATAAAACCCTGGGCACAAGACTCGCAGGGTTCTTCATACCCCATAATTACCCATCGTTTCACATGATGCACATATATAGTATGTTTGCAAGCAATCAAGCAAGCACCAGTCCAACGCCACATACCCAAAACTAAGAGAAAAAAAGCATTATGAGAGGTTTGGCTCCTAGGATGGCATACCCAGTCAGTAAGGACAACCTCGTCCATTTATCATATCCGTGTGCATTTCATTTTTCCAATCTCAATCCCAGAAACAAATATAACGAATCTACTCCCGATCCTTATGAAAAAGCGGTGCACCTTCCTGATCCTCTGATTCTTGGCGACGGTTCTCATCGTACGGTGGTGCCTTGGACTCATCTTCCTCGTCGGAGATGAGACCCTGGAGCTCGAAAGTCTCTGCGTCCTGGATGCGCTGGGCTTCGGAGGCAGAGTGCGCGTGCCCGTTCATCTGGCGGTAGCGGCCGCTCCTGGATGGGCCTGGGTGGAGGTTCTCCTCATCTTGGTCGGTGCTTGTACGAGAGTGGTTGTCCGGGTCTGCGGATTCGGGCCAAGCGTGGACGGCGTAAATGTGGAGGAGGACATTTACGACTGTTGAGGGGGAAAGAATTAGTGCTAGTCCATTGTAACGCGTGATTGGGAGTGGGATGAGCATACATAAGAAGAGGATGAACGCGATGCTGAAAAGAATAAGGACATAAGCGACATGAGTGATCCCCGCGTTCTCCAGGAGTTGCATCTGTTCTTCGGTGGCGCCCATGAAGAGGAACCCAGAGGCGTATAGTAGCTGTACAGACCAGTGCGTTAACTTCGGCATTTCTTTCTGGTCGAGACCAAACTGAGAAGAAGACTTACAAAAGGCGTCAAGTACTGGAAGCTGTTGGGATCGGTGCCATCCACACTTAGAGTGCCCTTGTCCTTCAGCACGAAGGATATCTCAATAATCCGAGTTAGACCAGCCGCCATCAACGTATACCCGAAGATCTTGTGGATCATAGTACTGATCATTGAGTGTTGCGGGTGGCCGGACATGGCATAACCTGTCAGTCCAATGACAATAGCCGGGATAAGGTTCCTCTTAGGTCGACCGTTGCGCTTGCGGCTCAACCAGATACCTAGCAAGCCAGCGCACCACCAGACAATACCCATTGTAGTGTGCTGAAGGTCATTGTGAACCCAGGGCCCACCCCATCGATGCTCCGTGAAAGTGTTGACACAACCCCACGCTGCAATGACCAAAGAATCGAAGAACTCCTGGCTGCGGCCGGTGCGGCGCAACCAGTATTGGCCGACGAGAAGGAGGATGGTAAGCAGGATACCGTAAGCGATGAAGGCGCTGCCCATGATGAAATGGGCCAGGCACTGTCCGAGATGGTCATCGCGACAGAAACCCAGTGTAGTAATACCTCCAAAAAGCATCTGCACCCAGCTCAGCACCGGCATTGCCTTACCGAGGACACCGTGCATAATGACGAAAACCCGGCGAATCCGTCCATGAATCCCCCTCTCTATATGCAGCTTAAGGTAGATGCCTAGCATAACCTGCGCAGCCAAGAAGAACATCAGGGCATTGGCGAACGAAGCGTGGACATTTTTCGCGAACTGGCGGCCTTTATGCGCATGACCGAGGAAGTATGCGACGATAGCAATAGCGGTGCCGACGACTTGAACAGGGACGTGCCATCGTGATCGAGTGATCTATGAATATACCAGATAGTAGTTAGATCAAGTTTGCCCAATCACTGCAAGCTGATTTGAGAGCCATACCCCGAGCACCATTCCTAAGGGGAAAATAATCCCAAATGACAGTCCCATGAGAATCATATGAATCCATAATGTGGAGTCCTAAAGAGTAAAATATATCGCGTCAGTCCGCGTTCAGTCAAGCCTGCTTGGGGCCAAGGCGTGGCATACAATAGGGTCTTCGGAGACAGCGGCACCTTCGGGGACGTTTTCATGACCCCCGTGAGCCAGGGCGGGGGAGACAAGGAGCAAGGCTCCAAGCAGCCCGCGCATATCAAGAGCGCCCGTCATCTTGCGGCCTCCGTCGAGTTATTTGCAAAGAATAAAGAGGGATGTGAGGAAGGAGAAGAGATGACGAATCGTTGGATTGAGGCGATCGGCCGGCCGGGGCGGAAGCTGGAAACGGCCTGAGAAATCAGTGATCAGACTCGCTCGGATTGGCTGCTGCATCCACCGGACCACAGCCGGGCTTCAAGGTACACAACTACTACATAAATATTTGCTGAGGCGCAATTGTCCAGTCCGGAAAATTCAGTGCTCGATAAAACAGGTCATTTTGTGCTCTAGAAGCACTACCCCGCTTGTTGCTCGACGATATGAGTTGGATGCCTCAGGAATAACATCCTCCATACGGTTGTACCGTACTAGTACCAGATTGACAAGAATCCATCAGAACTGCCCTTCATCTATCTCTCAAATCCATAGCAATGTCCTCGAATCCAGAGAAATTCAAAGTCTTCGCTGGCTCACCCACCCAGGAATCCCAAGGAGACAAAAAGCTCGCAAGTCCATCTCATGATCTCAGTAGCCTTTACCCAAAACAACCCTGTAACTAACCCACCCAATACATAGGCAAGCCTCCGCGCATCCATAGCAGAACTGGAGATTCAAGCAAGCCAAATCGAAGGCCAAGTCGCCGAGGTCCGTGCCAAGTTGAAGTAAGCTACCTTGTCCTTCCCCCTTTTCTTTCCTTTTCTTCATCTTTTATCTTCATCTTTTATCTTCATCTTTTATCTTCATCTTTTATCTCCATCTTTTATCTTAAAGGATGTAAAAAGACAATAACTAAACAAGATTGAGTGTAGAAATGACCCGTCTGACACAGTAAAGCGGCATATTCGATTGCTGCATGAGTATAACGAGATCAAGGACATCGGTCAGGGGCTGATGGGACTTATTGCTGATGCGCGTGGCGTGAGACAGGTTGATGTGCAGAAGGAATTCGGGGTTGGCGTCAAAGATTGACAGAATCCGATCTCTACGAAGGTATGGATCTTATAATGACGGTTATTATTATATTAGGGATATGCACGGGAGTTATGGAGTAGGTTATTGAATTTGTTTGCTTTTCATCTCATCTAAATAGAGAGTGGCGCTATGCAGCTCAAGAGACATCAAGAAATCTAATAAAAATCACTAAATCACTAAAAACCAATCCGGCAAAAAATGGTATGGAAAAATGTGTAAAAGAGCAGATTGCTAATTAAACCACCAGAAATAAACAGTAAGGGATATATATATAATTATATGCAGCGGTGAAATTGAGAAGAGATGTTCGAGAATTAGGTCAAGAAAGCAATTAGTGGCCTTTACCCAGGCTCTGTAGGTTGACCAGCTCGTAGTATCGGCCCTTCTTATGAACGAGTTCGGTGTGAGTTCCGCTCTCGACAATCTTGCCTTGGTCAAAGACGTAGATAACGTCCGCCTTTTGGATTGTACTTAATCGGTGGGCAACAGCGATTGTGGTTCGACCTCGGGCAGCAGCATCGAGCGCGGCTTGGACGACCTTTTCTGACTCAGAATCTAGGGCAGACGTAGCTTCGTCAAGGAGGAGGATTTTGGGATCGCGCAATAAGGCTCGTGCAATCGCTACACGTTGCTTTTGACCGCCTGACAACATGCCTCCTTTACTGCCAACAACCGTGTTGAAGCCCTCACTATTATCTTTTGTTAGCGCGTTGTGGTACCAGGTGAAGCTGGGGAGCGAAGACTTACGGAAGAGACATGATGAAATCGTAAATATTGGCGTCCTTGCAAGCCTTCACCAATAATTCTTCGGCGATATCATCTTCGACGATGCCTAGCAAGATATTTTCCTTGATCGTGCCCTGGTATAAAGTTGGCTCTTGACTGACTAGTGCCAGGAAGCTGCGGTATGAGTTGATGTTAAGTTTACTGATATCCTTCCCGTCAACAAGAATGGAGCCAGCAACTGCATCGTAGAAACGTTCGAGAAGTGCAATGGTAGTACTTTTACCACAACCGCTGGGTCCGACAAGGGCAATATACTGTCCAGGCTTCACCGTCAAGTTCAGACCACGGAGGACAGGCTGCTCAGGGCGTGTGGGATATCGGAAGTGCACGTTCTTGAATTCGATTTCACCCTCTGCAGTTTCGAGCTTCTCGCCCTCATCAGACCAGTTGTCAATCTCTGGTTTTCTGTCAAACAATCGTCGGAATTCGGTTGCGGCATTCTTCGCCTTGCCCATATCTGGCGCGAAGGAGAAGACGGTACCCGCAGATTGAGCGCCGAATAGAACCTCCGAAAAACATACGAAGAAACGGAACATGTCATACTCGTGGTGGCCCAAGAGGGTTCCTCCGTACCAAAAGCCGAGCGCAACACAGAAGAAAACAAGCGCCTGAGAGGAAGCATATAGCAGGGATGATTTCAAGACAGAAATCAAGCTAGACCTGCCTTGTGCGTCAAGCTGAGCGTGATACATTTCCCAAACATCCATTTCTCGAGTCAGAGACGCAACGGTGCGGATGGAGGACGTAGCCTCGCAAGCGAAATTTGCAGATCCCTCGTAGGCAAGTTTGGACCGCGATTGAAATTGAGCTAGCATGTAGAACCGGTAGAATCCGCATCCTAGAAGGACTGGAACGACCGAGATACAAACCAAGGCCAATTTCCAGCCAATCGATAGAGAGATAATGAGGGCAGCACCTAGTGTAGTCGAAGTCATCAAGATTGTACCTAACGTTACACCGCTGACGCCAGACAAATGTTTCGTCTCGGTGGACAGGAAAGATGTCAAGGCACCGGTGCTATTTTCTTCTCTGTCAAAGAATGAGATATCTTGGCGGAGCATGGTCCTGAAAGCTGTGCTTCGTGCGCGACGAACAAGTCTCTCAGAGCAAACAGCAAAAGCGGCACCGCTAGTAGACTGAGTGATGAATTGAACAATGCCGACCACGAAGAACATCAGGGACCAAAAGTTCGCATCACTCCGAAGCTTGTCGTACTGTGTAGGTGGGAGCGCCAAAGTACTGATTGCCTTGGCATATAGTACAGCTTGTGTGGGTTGACCGCCGCCGGCTAGGAATGAAAAGATAAGACCGATGATCATGTAGAGAGTTTCAGGCCGGTTGAAAGAAGCGATGAATTTGAGCAGCGTCCATAAAGAGTACTTCTTAACTGGCTCGGGACCCTTCTTGGAAAGAATTGCACTGGAAATTGATTTATGGGTGCCAGTGCGGTCCATGGTGGTTGGCTTTTCATCGAGCGAGCTAGTTCCGCTAGCTGCAGTTTTGATTCTGGTCATGTCTTCGTGGGTGAGATCTTCACCATCCATGTCCTCGGTATCGAGAGTTGCAGCTTCCTTCTCTTCATTAATCCGCTGAGCTTCTACAAGCTTGCGATAAGGTCCTGCACGGTCAACCAGTTCATCATGAGTTCCCTGCTCGGCAATTTTACCATCAACCAAAACCACGATGTTGTGGGCCGTTTTGATGGTGGAAAGGCGATGGGCAATCACAATGGTAGTACGACCCTCAGCTGCTCTCTCTAGCGCGGCTTGAACGACTCCTTCGGATTTAGTGTCCAGGGCAGAGGTAGCTTCATCAAGGAGCAGAATCTTTGGGTCGCTGACAACAGCACGAGCAATGGCGATACGCTGTTTCTGACCACCTGAGAGGAGAAACCCCCTCTGACCGACATTTGTTTCATACCCCTCCGGTAAGGCAGAGATGAAATCATGAGCATTTGCCATTTTTGCGGCGCCCTCAATGAGTTCTCGGATCTTGTCCTCAGATTCCCTTTCGAATTTTGTGCCGATGAGACCGTGCCGAATATTCTGATAGATGGTTGTGCCAAAAAGAACTGGCTCCTGACTGACCAAAGAGATCTGCTGACGGAGCCAACGGAGGTTGAGGTCCTTAATGTCATGACCATCCAACAATACTGTACCCCGAACGGGAATGTAGAATCGCTCGACCAAACCAACCACAGTGCTTTTCCCCGAGCCAGAGGGTCCTACTAACGCAGTTGTCTTTCCAGCGTGCATTTCGAGGGAAACGTCCTGCATAACAGTGACTTCTGGCCTGGATGGGTAAATGTGCTTGATGTTGCGCAACTCGATGTTTCCCTCGAAGTTGTCCAGGGTTTTCCCTTCGTCAGAATACGGATCTAAGGGTGATTGGCGATCGATTGTTCCGAAGATTTTCGAGGCCGCAGCTACAGCATTCGTGAATGCTTGTGCGTTTGGACTAACGTTTCCCAGGGCGAATGAACCGATCAATATAGCCATAAGAACGGTAAGAACATCACCCACATCGACCGCCCCATCCACCAGGAAGCGAGAACCCATCCAGAAGCCGAGACCATAGTTCGAGAACATCAGACCAAACATAGTGCCGACCATGAAGCCTAGAATAACCTGGTTTTTTGTCCCCCATTTCTCTGCCTCGGCCAGGTGAGACTCATACTGCTTTGCAAGCTTGTCCTGCGTGCCGAATGCGGTGGCATTCCTAATCGAACTGATGACTTCCTCAGCAACTGTTCCGCCAGCGCCGTAGCTTTCGAGCGACATCTTGCTGTACTTGATAATAAACCGCGATCCACCGCCCATCGTAAGGACGAGGGCAACAATCGTTGAACTGCAGATTAGGGCTAATTTCCAGTACTTGACGTAGGCGATGATGAATGCTGTCACGAAGGTTGAGACAGCAGTCAACGTAAGGCCCACCTTTTCAGAAATGCCATCTTGAATGAGGTTTGTGTCGGCTGTGATACGGGTTGTCACTTCTCCAGCTCCTAACTTGTCGAAATAGCCGATGTTCTGACGCAAAATAGATTCAAGGTAATGTTCACGGATCTTCTGCGTAGCATGTTCTCCAGTATAAATGAAGCCAACAGTACTGATGTAGACTGTGACAAACTCGCCGATACCAAGATACACAAAGTATAGGACGTTTTTCGTCAGTTCATGGTAGAAATCTCCGTAGGAGATCTGATACAACATTATCTTTTGAAAGACTGTAGCCAGGGAACCGAAGAGAATCTGAAGCAAATAGTTGGTTAGGAGCTCTTTAAACGCCATTGGGATCAATGCATACAGTGAAGAGGGGCAAAGCTGCACCGGCGGCAATAGCGCAGATAGCACTGACGACTACGATGAGTAAATCAATCTTTGTCGCATAACGCCAGAGACCGAAGAACGAGATGTTCCCTTTTAGCTCGTCAAGTTGCGTCCTCAAAACCCGTTGTTCTTCTTCAGGCAGGTGCGCAATAAGGGCATCCATTTCATCGACCGGGTCTGCATTGTTGCTGGATGAGGCCTTTGGGCGCTGCTGCTCTTTGGCTGCGGGGGCGGCCACCGTTGAACTAGACTGAGCGGACAACTCGTTTGATATGCGCTTTTCGCCCGAGAGGACTGGCGTAGATGACGGCTCATTCGGTACTGGAACCTGAACAGGCTGGGTAGCGGCCTCCGACGGAAGGGGCCCTTTTGCAGGTTCTGACATCTTGTTCGAACCGGCTGGTTGAAGGCCCAGGCGGGCTGCCGAGGTTAGAGAGGGAAGTAGCTTCACACGGGGTTAATCAGAGATTTATTCCGTCCATCAGGAATCGCAAAGTCTGGCGTGACAAGCTACTTAAAAGCCAGAATCCTCGTGACAAAGAATGACAAGGAAATACGAGCTCTCCCAGTCGCCGCAACCGAATAGTTGGGTGCTCCTCAAAAATGCGGAGTCGGAATCGGAATCGGACTGATAACGAGCCTGTGAGGGACAAAACGAAGACCGTGGAAAGGGGGATATCCCTGATAACATATACGGGCTATTTAAAGAGAGGAAGCAAAAGCCAGAGCGATGAAAGACGGTCAAGACCTATTTAACCAAATGGGGTCTCCGTCGCCAGTCACCCATAGCAGCTTGTAAACCGACTCTGTGCATTCCTAGTCGAGTTAGAGCCAGGCGGGTTCGTGGATCGGAGCCTCCAGTTCCCGAGATCTCTTGTGCAAGAAAAACTTTGGATTTAAGCACGGCATGGGTGGACCATTGCCGATCGAGGAGGAATCCTTACTGCGTGCCCCCCAAGAATCTGGATGCACAAGCCACTTCAAGCCAGTGATGCCTGTGAATCACTCTCCTACTCACAAAGGGGTCTCTGTCAGGAAAGACATAATGATCATCACTGGGCCTCGTCGCTTGGCGCATTCATTCCACGTTTCTAGAACTAGAACTACATGTGCATTTCGTATGAAGTGTGGCAATAATATCCGAAGTGAAGAGAGCAAAATACTCACTCACACTGGCGCCTGATGTGTGTGAGTCGTTTCAAGTGCCATCCTTATCACTGGATGACCAGAATATCAATCCAACACAAACATCAATTAACGGTATAGCGCAGAATAAGCTTCATATTGTTGTTTGCATAAGGAGGGCACAATTGTTCAGCCTGGATGAATTCTCATTGGTGTCGGGGTTTATGAGCCCCGGGCCCCGATGTCTTTTTTGGCTATTTTACTCTGGACGGGGCAGGCGGCGTTTCCGTCCACCTTCATGCGAGGTTGACGTCCGCAGTTGGGCGATCTCAGTTGCCGGTGCCACAATTGGCTCGATTGCATCTGGCCCCGAAGGAAACATGGACACCGTATGGACGAACGTTCCGAGTCGTCGAGTATACATGCATGTCTGACTGTTTGACTTGCCTCGAAGGTGCAAATGCTGACATGTCAGATATTCCTCTGAAATCCTGTATCCCACTATTATTATTGTCCTGGTTTTGGAGCAGGAGAACCGAGCACTACGTCGTTATTTCTCTGGCTCTTTGGACTCTTCATTTTATTTATTTTATCTTTTTTTCCGGTTGAGGACATCGCTTGCCGAATGGATGTTCAAACCGAAGTTGGGGGAGGGGATGTCGCTAATTTTAAGATTCCGTTCCAAATTTACAAACGCCGAAACGAATACGCTGCACTCTCTTACCGAGTACGAGACACTAAAGAGGCAATACCCTCACAAGGAGTCACTACTAGGGGTCTCGGGAGAGTTGACACGTTTCTTGTTCGTGGGAACGTGGGGTTTTCACCTCTGCTGACGGGACAATGGTCGATGACTTAGGTAACTTGAAAATCCTAAGCTTGTCTCAGATAAGAACATTGTCACAAAGGACGACTGCGGTGCTACTAAGGGGCTAAGGAGCAGGGGAGAGTCAACCCGAAAGAAATCTCGACACCCCCCAGAAACTGGAGAGGACCGTGGCCTGTGAGGTAGATAACTGCCGCGTTTTTCCCATCCCAAATTCGGACCTCGATGGCCTTCGGTCTTTAGTATACCCCGGGCCAAACCTCCCAGTTGGGACCAGGCGCTACCAGGGACTGCTGATATCAATCTGCTATCTGACGCGTTAATAATATAACAGCTCGTGCACACGCTCTCACACGGATGGATCAGATTCCGTGCTGACTGCTGACTACTTGGGAGTTTTGTTGGTCTTTCGAAATGAGAAGACTAATACTCGTGGGTTTTCACCCCACCATCTCTATTTTGGAAATGATGATGCGCGCGATGGAGAGGTTCCTGGCTCAGTCCATCAAGAATAGCCGATGACTCATTCGATCCTCGAAGAGTCCAATCAAACCTAAGTAGATATGAAGCAACGGCGGGGGTTCTGTTAAACGGCATACGCTACCAGGGCTTTCGCGCAGTAAGGCCGAAGAAAACTCGACGGCACCTGTACAGATTCAATAGCAGTTTAGGATACAGAAAAGCAGCATGGCAGAGTACAGACACAGATCACCAAATATTAAGGAGGTTAACTAACTCGACATGGCCATGAACAATTATTATACACTTCCTATACACTTCAGCTATGCAAGAGAGCGAAACTCTGCCGAGTTGTAAATCCTGGGGCAGACCGCAATAATGGCTGATATTCCAAGACACGTTTTTACTGGCGAAAATATTCTTGTTATGAACTACCAAAACAATTACGCCCAGGCCCAAAAAATTTAAGAACCGAAACTGTCGCTTCATCCTCTGTTCTGGGGTGGTTGCCTGAGGCTTGAATCACATGACCTCGGGAAGCGAAGCGCTAACCCTGTCCGCACCAAAAAATCCACACCACGAAAAGACCTTGGAAGGACGGTCGACAACCTCACTCTCGCCAGTCCATACAACTCAGCTCGCCGTCGCGACAACCCATCAAGATGCCGGTTAGTGACTTCCTACACGTTATTCTCATCGCACACAAAACTCTATGGATTTCTTTTCAAATTCAAACGAATTTTTATGCTCTCCGCCATGAATTTTGGCAATTTGAGATGGCCGTTGGCTAACGCAAATATGCCCTATACAGAGCCAGAAGAGTTTCCGTACCAAGCAAAAGCTTGCCAAAGCTCAGAAGCAGAACCGTCCCATCCCTCAGTGGATTCGTCTCCGGACCGGTAACACCATCAGGTAAATACAACCCAGCCAGCCTATATGCCCGTTTTTCCCGACCAGCGTGTGGAAGAGGAGGGACTGTGATGGGAAAGGGAAGGCGGATACATCGATACACCACTCGAACGACTCTATCATTGTCGCCTTGTCCGAATCAAAACGAGATGGAACAAGTCTCCCGGAGAATCTGTTAAACGGATACACGCACACACGACTATATCAAGACACATCAAGTCAAGGAACAGTCGACTAACATTTTCTCTTTTTTATCAGATACAACGCTAAGCGGCGACACTGGCGCAAGACCCGTCTCGGTATCTAAGCTTGTGCGACCTCTTTCTCCAACCGAGACGCTCACCCTGGGATCTTTTCCGTTCAATTCAACCATGATACCGCACGGCAAAAGTATCCTCGAATTCGCGATGATTTAACCTGCAAACGAAGAATCCATCTCCGCTCTCGTTCTCACTCTGATACGATCGAATCCCGCTCTCATCTCTTCTTTCACCCTGTTTCTTCGCCCCAGACTATCTACGTCACCTTTGTTCGGTCGGATCCACGATTTTGTTTCGAATTAAATCGACAAGCGCACGTCGTCTGAAAATGGTTGATTTAGTGGTCAAGCGGGTTGTGATGGCTGTTCTGTGATGGAATGAAAAAATATACTTATTTTTTTCGTTTTTTCGTTTTGCAAGTTTGTTGTATGCGAGCTCTTAGGGAAATAAGAAAAGAAACACAAATCGAAAATATGATGGGTAATGAGCATTCAAGGGTTATAAACTGAACCATTGTACCTTGTAGCGTATCACCGACATCCACGGTCCTACTGGAGTCACCAACGTTGCCCGGCGTGTGCCCAGTACTAGGATGGTACTACGTACGGTGTAGTCGAGGGGCTTCGATCAATGATTTAAGTGTATGTAATGTCCTACTGGTTAGTTCTACGTCATGGCGGCCACAAGGACATGGTCGAGAAAAACGGACAACATTCAGAAATCTATGGATTCTGATACCGAAAACTGTTGTTATTCCCGTCCCTAGCTAATAAAGAAAACACACATGAAGAAATCAGCCAGCCGAGTCTGATCCGTCGTTAATATCCGATATATTTTTTCTGGGGGTTGTTTTATTTTGAACAGACATGTCACTTCAGGGTAACAGAACCGGAAAGGGAAAAAGATATAAAGAAAAACCCAGACGAAACCGCTGAATAGTATCCTTGTAACGCCGTGGAACTAGATGACCCTTTTCTTTCAGCAAAGTCCAGACTCTAGAAGCATGTTTGTCATATAGGGCCGACTAGCCGTCCACAAAGAGATCAAAGGAATCCGGTCCTATGCCAGGCGGATTTAACGGCTAGAAGAAGTTTCAGGTTAGTTATATTCGTAAGTTGCACTTGAGGAGTTGTGAAAACCTACTCCTCAGCCCATTCGTTCTCGCGGCGGATCTGGTCCTCCTCCTCGGGGGTGAAGTCGTTTTGTATGTTGAACGTCTTGCGAATCTCCTCAGGGGACTTGCCCTTGATCATATTGGCGACAGTCTTGCACCCGATGTCAAGCAGCGGCTTGATATCGAGGTAGTTGGCAGCCTGTTGGAAAGAAGAGTTAGCATTTTTATGCCTAGGGCCATCGAATAGAATATAGCGGGTGTTCTGCATACCAAGATTATCTCGAATAGCATCTCCTGGTCGACTTGCATGAACTTTTGGTCCCACTCCTCGATATCAGTCGTCTTGCGGCGCGAGTCGTCCTCTTCGGTGTTGCTAAGCGGGTCATTGCGGTGGTGTTGGCACCACTCTAGGACCTTGGTCAAAACGTTCTCGCTCACCTGGGGTGAGAAGACCAGTTAGCTCAAACATCACTTTGGGTCGGGGGTAGTCTGATGGGGTGTGACTGACATTGGGAATGGGAATGGGCTCCGAAGGAGGCGCCTCAGGGGTACCAAGGTCATCGAGCAAGTTGTGGATCAGCAGAGAGCGCTCAGCAACATCGCGAGCTAATAGGAGGTTAGTCTCTGTTGTTGAACTGGCAGAAGTGATTCATAGAGGCGGAAAGTGTTAGTCCATGAAGCACATACCAACTTCGATATTTTTGTTGTCATTGCTGACAAGGGTGAGCATTTGTTGGCTTTTCTCAGACATTTTGAAGATCTGTATGTTCTTTTGATGTGGTCAGAAAAATGTATTTTGCTGGGATTGTGCGAGCTTTCGCGCAGGATCCGGGTCTCGTATTGCAGTCGAGGGGCCAAAAGCGGGGAGCGATCGGGGCGACCTACTGAAAGTGGCTTATAACACTGCGTCGACAGATGGAATTAAGGATTCAAGAGTTGATTTTCTGAGTGATGGAAAAGGAGCCTGTTGCAGAAGAGACAGGGTGGAGAGACGAGATGTTATAAGTAGTTGATAGAAGAGGAAGTGGTGAATGACAAGTGATGAGGTGAAGGAAGCTTTGGAGGTTGAATGGGATGGCCAATTAGTGCGGATGGAAGAAGCGCTTGGTCACAAAGTCCGTCCGTTGGTCTTTCATCATCCATCGGTACAGTAAATCAACGGCCAGCACCCGCTCTTTATTTCTTTGGATTTTCTTTCAGGCACCAGTTTCAGCCCCAAAGAACCGCTTGCCTAGCGAGCGTCCCATGCTGAAACGGGGCTCTTTTTGGTGTTGGCCAAAGGCTTCGCTGACTGCTCGCTCCAGGCTGCAAGCGCTTGCAGGCTCAAGCGCTTGAACCAGGCTGTCCAACGTCCATTCTACGGAGTGAAGCACTATAGTTTGATCGATAAACGCGACTCGATGGTTCTGCGAAGTAAAGGCCACTTCCATACCACCTTCGCACACAAAGTTTGTAGTCATAGGATCGAGCCTGGACCATTGGAATTATAGTTTGTAATGGGGTGATATCATCCCTTCCTCGACGCGTCTGCCCACTGAAGCTCAAAGCACTCCGCTGCTGCCATCGCATCCGCCCTGTGCTCATTTCTTTTTTTTTCTTGCTTCTTGTTTTTGCTTTTGCCGCTGAATTTTCCGCTCTCGTGATCCGCTCTGGGTAAAACAACTTGACCTCTTGTTCGCGTCTCCGTGCCGCGACTTGATCACCCTTGGTCCGTTCTACGACCTCTCCTAATGAAGCAGCATGTGCAATACAAGCCTTATATCGCGGATCTTCCTCCCTCTTTTTAATACTCCGAGTCCGAACCTGACCAAAACATGTGGAGGCGAACGTACCTAATTCTCTTGTTGATTCGCGTTTATTTTGCGCTGAGTCCTAGCTACATTCACCCGGACGAGCATTTCCAGGGTCTTGAGGTCTTTGCCGGTAAGCTCTTTGTTTACCGACCAGTTGTTTCGCCCTGGCTTGGTTCCGGTTTGGGTCATTTGACGATGCGACGGCACAACTGATCACCGGCTCGCACACCACAATCTCCCGAACTTCGCATTCACTACATTCACATTGTTTTGTTTCCAAATGCTTACACGCTTTTTATTATAGGCCGGATTCTTTCTTACCCATCACGGTTGCCGTGGGAGTTCACATCCGAGCGCCCAATCCGCAGCATCTTTCCACTATGGCCGATCTATGACGTCCCGATAAGCCTCCTAAAATGGTTTTATAATGAGACGGGGACGGAAAGCCCCCCGGCGGAGCTGGTCTACTATGTTGTGCGGGGGGTTATGTTCCTGCTGAGCTTCGTGTTGGAAGACTGGGCCGTCCACGAGCTGGTGCCTCTTCCACGCCATCGCAGGGCAGCTGTGGTTTTGGTGGCATCCTCGTATGTCACCTGGACTCATCAGACGCACACATTCTCCAACTCTCTCGAGACCCTGTTGGTTGCCTGGGGCTTAGTTCTAATTAATCGCATTATCGACAAGGTTCGGGTGGCTCCAGATAAGAAATATGTGGAGAGACTAGCTAATGGTTATGACAGCGACGCTCCTCTCTGTTCTCCTGCGCGGTGCTATCCTTCATCTGCGTTGCGGGTGTCTTTAACAGGATAACCTTTCCTGCTTTCCTCGCTATCCCAGGCCTTCAATTGCTACCACAATTTTGGCGCAAGTGAGTGTTGAATACAGTCTCGGTTTCAGTTAGAGTTACTCATCAGTTGCATACAGACCGCTATCGCTACTTGCATTCATTGGTTTTGGCCTCATATTTTTCTTTGTTGCCATCTCTGCCGACACGATATTCTATAGACCGTCTGCATCTTTCAGCGATGTCCTACGCTCGCCGATAATTACACCACTCAATAATCTCCTCTACAACACAGACAGCTCCAACTTGGCTCTTCATGGACTACACCCTCATTATAATCACTTCCTAGTCAATTTGCCACAGCTTCTGGGGCCTGCATTTGTCGCAATGGTCCTTCAGGTCTACAATTTGCGCTCTATACCTTCTTGGTTGAAGAACGTCCGCGCAGCTTCTGCGCTATCGGCTACCGCCATGCTGTCCATTTTTCCTCACCAGGAACCTCGGTTCCTGATACCTTGCGTGCCTTTGCTCCTCAGCTGTCTCCATGTCCGCAAATCGCGCCTTTTTCTGGCTGTTTGGGTCATATTCAATGCAGCCTTGGGCTTCTTGATGGGCGTGTACCATCAAGGAGGCGTTGTTCCAACACAGCTCGCGGTTCCTTCCATCGTCTCAGCTACAACATCCGTAAAAGAATCCCAGTCCATTTCCGTTACTGTGTTTTGGTGGAAGACATATTCCCCGCCTCTATGGTTACTTGGTGATAACTCCACTCTACCTGTGGACTTGGACATCGACACCCAAGATCTTATGGGCAAACCTGGGCCAGAGTTGATCAATGAGCTTGAAGATCTAATCCCTTCCTGCCTGAAAAAGCAGAAGTCGGGTTCGAAACAACCTGACGCTGTCTTCGTGGTCGCGCCGAAGTCCATCACTTTTCTGGACCAGTTCTTGGCTCCGCAGAGCTCCAGCTCAAGCTTGGAACTGCTTGAGCTATGGAGTTACAGAAAACACATCAGTTTGGATGATTTAGACTTCGGCACGGATGGCATTTTACCAACCCTAAAGCGGGTGATTGGGAGACGTGGATTAGCTGTTTGGCTTGCGCAAAGACCCGCCTGCCGTTACATCTGAGTTCATCAGCTGATACATACCTTAAGGTACTACTCGACCATATCCAAATTAGGGAAGTCTCGCCTATCCCCGGGCCCCGTCCTCAATCACCTTTCTCCGTCGTCGTTCCTCTTTTCCTCACGTTATCCTTCTCTGTATATGCTTCTTCCGCCGCTATCTATTTTAGACCTATGTTATTTTTCGTGTTGAACCATACATCTTCAACTAATCCGGACATTCAAATACCCTTATGTACCCTTCCTTTTTCATCATATCTGGTCGGAATTAATGGCAATTATACCCCCTCCTCTCATGCTCGAATAATAATAATAATCATGATACCTTTTGACGTTGCATTCCTTTTAGACTTCTGGTTATACTTTAGGAAATACTCACATTCTTCAAGCTTTGGACTTTAATTAATTAGTTGTTTCTCGCTAGAGCCGTTTAATGAGCGTGGATTGCGTTTGGCCAAGGTGAGGTCTTTCTACATAGAACCGTTTTAACGAATAATTCGGTCAGATTGGCATTTTTTTTTTTTTGGTCCTAGGTACATGGCAAGAACGTGGAAGGAGCAGCCGTGTTACTAGCGGCAATGGTACAAGTACTAGAAGGCCTAGGTGTAAAAAGTGCTGGTCTAATCCAGCCGCTATGGCAAAGTATGAGAAGAGACGAGCCGGATGAATAGCGGAATAGCGGTACTCATTATGAGAGGGGAATAGATCTGTAACTAAAGGAGTAGTGGCACATCATGATTCGTGACGGGCCGAATGATTGTTTCATGCATCTTCACCTTCGTCGGAGTTCTCAAACAAGTAGTTGGCCGCAAGCTCTTCGTTCTTATCGCAGGCGAAATAAGCTTGAATGACGAGGTCCCGCGAAAATCCGAGTCGGCAAAGCTAGAATTAGGTCAGCTAAATGTCAAGCTAAGGATATGGCGGGAAGTGGAATACCCGTTCGATTGCATCTCGCTCCTCTTCTGTGACATGAATCTGAGTTGTGCCCGGGGGAATTGCAGCATCATCCTCTTCGCTAAGTAGCTGAAGAAACTGCTCCTCGTTTTGTCCGATAAGCTGTGCAATCTGGGGGTTACCGGCGCCAACTTGCTGAAGGATTGGCTCCAACATTTGGGGTTGCTGTTGGACTAGCTGGCGAAGTTGTTGGAAATGCGGGTTGTTGCGAAGGAAGTCGAGGTTCGACTGAGCTTCACCACCAGATGCACCCCGAGCACCACCCCGACCTTCAGTATTACCAGCCTGAGCAGCGGCCTCGAAGAGATTGACCGGCTCGTCTTCTCCAGATGCAGCGGGTGTAGCTCCGGTGGCGGGGGCAGAGGGGGCTTGAGGGGCAGTAGGGGCGGCAGCTTCAGATCGCTGTTGTTGTTCTTGCTGGATATCTTCGGGAATTCCCTGTTGTAGGAAGAGAGAAGGAATTAGTGTACTAAGTCATGAATATGATGACGAATCAGACTCACGCTCAGAAGATACTCGATGGCTCGGTCTGGGTTAAAGAAAGCAGCCCTCATCGCACGGTTGATGTCACTTCTCTCAAAGCCCATGTTCTCCATCTGGGAAATGACCCCTTCGCTCTGCGAGCCACTCAATAGTGCTGAAGGATCATTGAAAGAAGGTCCACCTTGCTGAGCGGCTCCGGAAGAGGCTGGAGAGGGGGTTGCTGGGACGGCAGCAGCGGACGTGGATGTGTTTGCAGATGGTGCGGGAGCAGGAGGCGCCGCAGGAGTTGAAGTCGCTGCTTTAGATGGCGTGGACGGACCCTGTGAGGAAGCGGGTTGGGTCTTGGGCTAAACAAAGTAAGGTCAGCACAGGGAGAAATGGAACCAAGGACCAGGGACGGTATACCTTAGAGACCATGCATACAATGAATCCCTTCTCTTCGATGTTGTATGACTCGATCGTCTTGTCATCTTGAAGAATCTTCCCTGTAAATCCCACAGAGCGTCAGAGCCGACGACCAGCAAGGTGCAGACCTAATTGACTAACCAGAGTAGATGAGCTTCAGTAGAGGGACATCCCATCCTTTTTCCGAAGAAATCTTCTCCTTCACCTGCCCAACCTAAATTTTGGGTTAGCCCCGCATTGACATCGCCTTCTGAAGCTCGGGCTAAGGCGACTTACAGTCTCTGACGGTTCTGCATCGATCACAAACTTCTGTTGTTTTAAATCCTGTGGAAATAGATGTCAGGTTGGATGCTGCGCAGCTTTGTGAAGGTAATAGAGGGTCACGTACCTTGAATGTGAGCTGCATCTTGCGCCACCGGAGAAACGTAGATAGCTGAAAGTGGGGGAGGGGAGACGGAAGACTAAGTGTAGGTTGATGGGACAAGGGTTAGGGTTCGGCGGTGATGGGTATGCTTGTACAGAGATAGATAGAAAGAAAGCGCAGAAGGGACAAGTTTCCAAGTCTACAAATGAGCCGAGAAAAGCAAGTGACGATGATAAATTATGATGGCAGCTGGGAGAGATGGAGGAACTGCCAGCAGCGGGTGGAGGCGGTCACCGAGCAGGCGGCAGCCCCTCACAAGCCACGGACCACCGGCCACAGCTCTGAGCGCACTGCCACTTGCCTGCGCTTGGTATTCACGTGATTACGTCCCTGTATAGGTCGACCATGGCGGACTCTCTTTGCTTCCTTGCAGATTCTATTCTTACCTCGCGGGACACCCCTGCCTTCACCCTCAGACGGATCCTAGGAGCCTGAATCCGAGTTTCCTTCTCTGTGGTCATGGGCCCAGAATGACCTCAGGCAGTGCCATTGGCCATCAATAGACACCATGTCTTTTCTACCTCCGTTGGAAGGCTTGTATCCGAAGGCGGTAAGACAAGATTTCTCACTCATTGTCTTGCTAGACTCTTCGGAGAGCCAGGAAACTGAGGACGGGAATGAAGGCGTGCGCAATTCTTTGAACACGTAGCTGAGCGAAACAACAGCCTTCATCAACCACTCTTGGTCGCCGCCACTCTCAGGTACTTTAGTGGTGTCCTGCGGCGGCTCGGTGTACCCGACGTTTTGCACGAACTGGTCAACTTTGGTAACAAGCTGATCTTTGATCTGTGGTATGGTCGACATATCCTATGGATCTGTCACATAGCGAGAGCTATGGACCATGGACGAGAAATTCGTACGACCATGTCGCCCCATGTTGGGTCAGGCCTTGGAATTTGTTAAAAGACATTCTTACGGTGTACATTCCTCACTACGGAATTCGCCTTGAGCTCTGACAAACTCTCAAAATGTCGGTGATACTAAACCCTCACGTTGTTGGTACCCAAATTGGCGGTAATTCGTCCCCAAGTGTTCTATGGACACGTCACATTGTGGATCGGAGGATTATTGGTTCCAACACATCATGGATCCCGTGTTTGATCACAATTGACGGCCATTATTGGAGGCGGTTCCTGAGTATTGGAGATCGTCACGTTAAAAAATTATCTGGACAAAACAGACCCTGACAAATTGTTCGTTGGCAAGACCCGTCGCATGCAAGAACAGCTTCTTTCCATTCCTCCCCGCCAATCACCCGTCTTCGAACCATGGATGCAAAAGCCCTAAACAGTTACTTGCGGTCTAGGCATGTCAGGCACAGGTGACTCTTCGACATCTCGGTGTAAGATACATGGATTTTATTGTTGAGTCTGTTGCAGGCTTCCGGCCTAAGTGCCAGTGAGTGGCACCAGGTGGCTCAGGTCTTGACTGCCAAACACAACTCAATATCTTGTGATCAGAAAGAGACCCCTGTAATTGTACAGTGACAGGACGGGAGACCATGGCCGGATTGTAAGGTATCCGATCCAGTTCTACCGAAGTGGTAAACCCCCGGTTTTCTTCACTTGTCGACGATTAACCGAAGAACTAGCCTGTCGTACTTTTTGGCCTTATATTCGGTATTGATAGTATTTTGAGTCATACTCCGTGCGCCGCTACTCGCCACAGAGTTTACAGTCGATTATTTCTTTGCATACTCCGTACTCGTTGTATCTTAACCCACAGGACCACTAGCTATTTGATACACCCAATTCCTAATTCCTGGGCTTCTCTCTTAACTCAGCATATCCCTGAGAACTCTCCTAGGTCTCGCTTTCCCACTCAAATATACATATATTGGTTCCTTCGTGCTGTTCTCTATTTTTCACTGCTCGACTCATATACTGCCAACCACTTCACCAACTCGCTTCTTCAAATTCCATACTTCGTCTTTATTTCATTGGCTCCCTCCGGCTAAACCAATATCCCACCCAATATTCGCCAGGATTTACAAGGATCCTTTCTGCTCCGCCGATTCGCACCGTTTTTTTTTTTCAGATTCACAGCCTCTGTCTGGATTGTGCCACTATTTCGAACGGACAAGCCTCTTTTTCGCCCAGGGTCTCTTCACGGCACTCGGGTTCCACCATGTTCACGGCCTCCCCGGCCTATCTGTTGGGAGGGGTCTCGTTGCTGTCAACCGTCATAGTCACCATCGTTAATGGCGTGTGCTATGGGTTTTCGAGAGCTTCAATGCCGCATACTTCTTTGACTGATGCAGTCACCGTTAGTTTCAGCATTATTAGTTGTTCTGTGATCATTTTCTTAATATTGATCTTGGCGAACGAATTGAAAACCAATTCCAGGACACCACGGAAAGGCTGGAAAGCAACAACCTACATTACGGGGATTGGGTATCTCGTCATAGCGACTGGGGTAACGGCCGGGACTATAGCATGGAGCACAATGCAATCTGTGGTCGAGACAAAGCAATCAGATACTTCTATACCCCGGCAGCCGCTGTTGGTTGCTCGCTGTGCCTTATGGGCTATCTCCGTCCTCACTCAAGGAATGTTATGCGGAGTCCTCTTGATGACTATGACTAAACATGACAACCGTCATAAGCAATGGCCAACATTGGTCTCATACGAGCTCAATACATTGACTCCGAGTCGGCCAGGATCGATACGCAAAGAAATATCCCATGCAGCCTCGTCCATGGTCGAATCGCAACGTCCCTCCGTTGACACTACGCCTCATAATCCATCATCACCTTCGCGCGCGACATCTCGAGGCTCAACCCGATATTCCGGCAGGACATTGGCCCAGTCAGACTCCAAGCGCAATTCGCTTGACTTAAACCCAGCGCTCGTTTCCTATCCTGAGAGCGCAACAACGCGCACCAGAGGGGACCGCAGCCAAGAAGACCAGGGCCGATCACCACATCTCCAACGACACAGTTCACAAATCAAACGGTCTCTCGACAGTGTAATGCTGCGCCCTTCGTCCACCATATCATCCTCCACAGCCCAGTCGGATGCCACCACCAGACCTCCCAAACTGAAACTGCCTGACGAAAGCAATATCCACCCGCTGTTCCGCTCTTCTACACGCTCTCCTCCACCGACTACTACACCAAGCACGATGGTCCTCGCATCTCCAGAGGCGGGTCAGACTATTACCGTGAAGGCACTGCACAGAATGAGGTCAACGCGCTCAGTTGGGCCGCCACCTACGCCTCGGGGTAGGTCTCCTTTATTTGAACAAACGGACCACCTTTTTGAGGATATAGAGCAGAGACCGGCGTCAATTTTGGGTTGTAGTAATAGTCGGCTCGGTACATAATGTAGCGCGGCCTCCCTGTATATAAAGATTATAAAGATAGAACAACATCCTGTTATCTAGCGAAGAATACCCCCAACCCTATCAGTGCGTTAATTTGAGTTTCTATAAGAATAAGTGAATTTCTTTAATAACTAAACCCAGTGTTTTCCAGACTCTACTAATTCATGTTCTGGAGCGACATCCTGAACTGTACAAGCAGAACGGTCAGCTCACTATTAATCCAGGTGATCATCCGAAATATGAGTGGTAGTCTCACTGGGATATTTCCTTAAATACCAGGTATCCTAACGTCCCAACTAGAGCCACCTTTGCTAATCGTCCTGCTCCCATTCTTTGGTATCTCGAAAATGGCGGGTAAGACTTGCGGAAGTAAGAGGAGTGGGTGTGGAATATAGAGCAGGTGCGCATGGTGGACATGGAGAGAACAAATGGAGTAAATTTAGATAACAATTCGTTTGGCTTGGATTGTTTGCGGAAACCGTCCATGGTCATATATTTATAAAATATGGAAATCACCGAGAGTTGAGACCGACCCCGACCCCGAGGTTCGGGGTTAAGAATTTAGGTCGGCCAGGAATTATTATGGAGAGATCAGCTACAATTAGCAATAAGCAGGTGTTATAAACTACCTATGAAATGGAATTCTGTATATGGGCTCCATGTAAAGGTAGTACAAGCTCAAAACAGCACCGCAGATTTTGGTGCAGCAAGCACTCCCTCCTCCGCCCACCACTGCCTGGCGTCTGTACATGCGGCTTTGTAAAGCCTATCGGTTGGATGAAGCTCTGAGAACGGACCAAAATCAATGTCATGTGTATAGATATTATGGATTGGGTAGTCACTAGTTGCATTTATAGAGCAGGAGTGTGCTGTCTCGGTATGCTCCATCGCCTGCCAATTGCGTTTCATCTTCAGAAAATTTTCCCAGGCGACTTGCCGTTCCTGTTGTAGTAGGGCTGCCATTGTTGGTGAAATTATATGGACGGCCTTTACCCTCGGAATCTGCCAGGAAAAAGTCGAAAGGCCTGGTCCATTCTTCTGCAGTAAAAGGGTGCGTTGCGCAGCTAACGCGGCTTGCGCTCGCCGTTGCGCGTATTCAAGAAAATGAAGACCACTAGTATCACCATCCCGCTGCTGATATGATCTCAAAGCCTCGCCTAAGACTCCAGCGACTGGCAAGTCGGATCGAACGCCATCAGCCCGTGAAAGTAGTTGCAGCAGGGCGTCAATCTCCTCAACGGGTAAAGAGCAAAGCTCGCCAACCGGATCGTCTATATAACTAGACCATGGATGCATGGCAGTTTTGTTCTTGCCGTAATCACGCCAGCGGAATAGATCTTTTTGCCGCCATTGGGCGATCTGAAGCTCTTCTAGATCAGGGAATAATCGGACTGAAAGTGCAAGCATGGAGCAATAGTCATAACGCTGCCAAGGGAACAAAAACGATCCAGATGAGCCCAGTGCCAACTTCCGTACTCTTTTCAGATCTTTCGAGTGAAACTGTCCGAGAATCGTATATTGACAGCCTGTCAGAATGTGATTCCCATCCCAGTATGTGTTCGCATTGTCCTCGTCGATAAACAGCACATCCCTACCGAAATGAAACCACGTCCGTGGTCCGGTTGTGCGTGTTTCAAAAGCAAGTGTGTATCCGAAGCCCATCAACACCCTTCGCGCTTCATACCAGGTATGCAACAAAGGTGGTATGGGTGCAGCACTATACAGCGAGTTCTCGCGCATGATGAGCCACGCTATCGAGGGCTTATCCTGGAGCCATCTGAGAGGAATCTCCGGTGTGGACGCCGACGGCTCCCATGGTTGATGTGGCCCGCCACGACTACTGCTCACGCCAACAGCCTCTAATGTGCGTTGCTTAATGGGCTCGGGGAGGATCTTTTGGCGCCAGTTAGGAGCAAAGTATGCCAGGTCGGGGTTGACGCAGATGTTGGCCTTTTCCTTGAATTGTTCTTCAAATTGCGTTGGGTCTTGCGCATCTTCTTTGACATGAATGATGCGGGGCGGTGTAGCCAATATGTAAATCTCACGACGAAGGTCAAAGGGGAGGCGTTGGAAGAGGTCGAATGTTTCTAAGGTCATAATGGCAAAGATGCAGGGAACAAAGGCAAGCCGATAGGGTCAGGTGTGATGTGTTGATGGCAGGGATTAGAATTGTGAAGCCCAATACAATATGGGAAAACATTGACGAGGCTGAGATGCTATGCTGCTTTTGTAAACCAAACGGCCGCAAGGCTGAAGTACTCGAGTGCCAAATCCCTGCTCCCAATCAACAAGCATAAGTCTCGTACGAAAAGAGCGCATACGAATCGGGAATATCAAGACCATGGATGGACTCACTCACAAGCTTAAACCACAGTACGTTTAAAACATTTACAAAACCAGATGGCGCAAGGCTCAAAGGGCTTGTAATTTAACGATAATGCAGAGCTCAATTGAACAAAGGAGATAAGGTAGATTAGAATACATGACCCAAAATCTTCAGCGACATTTGTCCATCGCCCCTCGCCTCGGGACCAGTTCATGTTTCCCACAAGAGCAAACGGGAGAGGAGTGAGAAACGTAGTCTATACCGCAAGAAAAGACTCCCATGAGCAGTGAGTGTACAGACTCTATGAGCGGAGCAGGGTTTGGAATAATAGAACAGGCGGCTCATTTTTTGTGGGTCAATATAAAAACACGGTCCCTCTAATCTTAACATAACAGGGATTCATCTAAAACACAAACCTTTGCCAAATTCCCCCTCGGGTGTCCATCGCTCAACCACCGACATCGAAACTGACATATATGTACTCGCTTAACCGATGATAAGCGTCTCCTCGTCGGGGAAGTTATACTGCGGAACCTCGAGGTTCAGAGGGGCCGGGCCCTTCCTAATACGGCCAGAGATATCGTAGTGCGAACCGTGGCAAGGGCAGAACCAGCCACCATAGTCACCGGACTCACCGATGGGGACACAACCAAGGTGGGTGCAGACACCTAATAGTAAGGAAAATTAGCGGTCAGTTATCGCGAATGCTCATGAGATACTGCCTCTCAACATACCAAGCATGACAAGCCACTCGGACTTCTGCACACGCTCTTCGTCAGATTGGGGGTCACGGAGAGACTTCCAGTCGTAATCTTGAGCCTCTTTAATCTCATCCTGGGTACGGTGACGGATGAAAACGGGCTTGCCACGCCACTTGATGATGACCTATTGTGGGTTTTACGTTAGTTGCCATGCGCAAGGCTGTAGCCAGAAGGCCACAAAAACAGGGCATTAAACGTACGTTCTTGCCCTCAGGAATTGTACCAAGACCAATTTCAACCTTAGCCTGAGCAAGGACATCGGCAGAGGCGGACATGTTCACAAGGAAGTCTATCGCGAAGTCGCATGTCAGCCCATTGACTCTTGACGTAAACAAACCGGCCCATATCTTGTTCCATGGCGTCACTTCCAAAATATTCAGGATTATGGCCATTTCGCCCCTGTTTCTTTCCAATTGTCAAACGCTCAGAGACACCTACCCTGGACAGTAGCCTTGGCACCGACAGCAGAGGCCAGACCCATAGTACCAGCGACGAAATAGGAGAAAACCTGGTTGGATCGAGGAGCTCTCTTGGAGGAGTATTTGCTGAAATCAGGGATCTTGGTGGTATCCTTCTGGGTGAACGGGCTGTCGAAAGTCGAGCCGCTTCGTTGCTGGGAGGCGACGACGGCGCGGGAAGTCGTGGACAGTTGCTGGCGGGCGCAGGCGCGCAGCAAAGAGCCGGAAGCGGAGGAGAGAGCCATGGCGAGAGAGCAATTGCGGATCAATTGCAATTAGAACGACCGATGGAGGCGGGGAGGAGGGGGGATGGGACGTAGAGAGAAGCGGATGAGGGAGGAATTCTGAGGTCGAAGTTCCGACGGCCTCCCGGCTTCAGGTCGAGCTTTCACGAAAAGCGATTCGGAAATACTCGCTTCCTGATTGGCCGCCGGGCCCACCCCCAAACCACCACAATCAGCGTCAACTCCTCTTCATGCACTATCTATTCTGAAATCTACATTTATCGCTTGGATCCATGAAGTTGACATTTACTACTCAGTCGGAACCGACAATGGTAGAATGTGGAATTTTTGGTGGTTATGCCGCAGATTTCCAGTTTCGGAATCGTCATACGATTAAGGTATCATGGAACATTTCATCAAACCATACGAGACATGACAATGCCAATCGATTAATATACAAGCTAATGCAACCCATAACCCAAAATAAAAGCCCCAAAAAACTCCTGGAGTTGCTCCCGCTCGCTTTTCTCTAACCCAGTCATTGATCTGCCATTTCTACGTCGTCATCCTTAGCCTGCGAGTCCAAAGCACCATCCACCAGCATCGTGACGGTTGGGGGTCTTGAACTTCGAGCCAGTGAGGGATCCTCTTTCCCATTCGCAGTCTCCTCGGCCACATCAGCGACCGGCGGCAATGCTCCATTCAACGTGCGTTGTCCTTTTTCGACCTCAAGTTCCTTGGCCGTTTCCTTCGCTCGCTTCTCCTTGAACTGTTTATATGTCGTCGTCTTTGGTATAACATCGGCGAGGAACTCGAGGTTGTCTATTCGCGAAACGGCCGTCGCTATAATGGGTATTATTAGCATTGCCCTGGTAATGAATCGGTGTAGACCCGCGTACCTAGATCCTTGTACTGGATAGTCTTCCTTGGCTTCCGTTCTGATTTGACGACATTATGCCCTTGCTCCGTGATGTATTGAATGAAGAGCTCCTGAGAGGGTTGGTTTGGTTAGTTTGACAAGGTAACTTTTAAATGACAATCACGTACAGTAGCCATCGCGACTACAAATGTCGCATTGCTCGAACACTGAACAATATCATCATCCAGCTGAATTATCTTCTTTATACGAGAAACTGCATGATAACATTAGCAAGAGAAATACCAGCAGTATATTGTGCGTACTTGGAAGAGAGCTCTGCCCCGTGATTTCAGGCGACGCATCGGACCCGGGCGCGGGTTTGGTATCTTTGGTGGGCATCGCGGGCTGGGAGGATAAACTGTAACGGCTGACGATTGGGAAAACCGAAATTTATCACGGAATGTCCGAAAGAGTTCGATCGCTCGAGGGTACGCGTGGCTTCTGATTCAATTAATGGTATGTAGTGGGAAGGTGGAAAGGATATGGTCGCGCGTGCCGCATCGATATCGCGTGGCGGACAATGGAGGGACCAGTAGTTCCAACAATCCCGAGTCAATTGTCGGCTAGACTTGGTCGGCGGTGATGATATCACGACAAAATGAAGTCGGTTCAAGGCTATGTAAATTCTTTATTATTATTATTTTTTTTGTAGGCCAACAATAGTTACTCTCTCCATGCCCGACACCCAGTGCTTTGACGCGATAAGCGTTTCGAGACTCTTTATCTCACGTGGTAGCCGCGTTTCCAATCGACCGCCAGTTGACGTTTCCGAATGAACGCAAGACAGTCCATGGTCCGTTCACCATTCAAATATATCTCTAGCTCAACTACCTAGGTATGCTCGCTCAGTACCGGTTCAACTGAGGCTTACAAGCTCGATGCCTCCCTCACTGTCCCCCATTCCCTCCCCCTCCGACCCGCCTGAGAACCGCCTTTGGAGACGGTTCTCGGGCTTATCGGCCTCGTCACAAGGTCCACGTTCGCCCACCGACAATAATGGCCAGACTCCCGTGGTCACAGAGGAAATCAGTGAGATCAAGCGATACGAAGATTTTACGACCATCGACTGGGTCCAAGATGCGGTACACGAGCAAGCGCGACGGCGGATTAAGCGACAGGAGGGCTCCGGTTTCTGGGAGAAAGAGGGCGCATTTAAATGGAGACAGAAAGTACGGGAGTCTTACGACGCTGGACAAGCATGGCTTGTCATCACAATAGTCGGGGCAGCCATTGGGTTAATATCGGCTGTATTGAATATCATTACCGAGTGGTTGTCGGATGTGAAGTTGGGTTATTGCACAACCGCGTTCTATCTTAACGAATCGTTCTGTTGCTGGGGAGCGGAGGGGGGTATGTATAGTCATCCTTGTTGATCTAGGTGCCCAGCTAACTTCCGCTGCTTATTTCAGGTTGCTCCGAGTGGAGAAGCTGGACTTCTTACTGGATCGTGAACTACGTCCTATATATTTTTTATGCGGTATTTCGAGCTCCCCTCCATCACAGCCGAAAAACCGCTAAGACTTTGACAGGTTTTATTCTCATTTATAGCTGCAAAATTAGTCAAATCATTCGCACCCTACGCCGCGGGCTCAGGTATCTCAGAGATAAAATGCATTATTGCGGGTTTCGTTATGAAAGGCTTTTTGGGTGGGTGGACGCTATTGATCAAATCAATTGCCCTCCCGTTGGCCATCGCGTCCGGTCTATCGGTGGGTAAGGAAGGGCCAAGCGTTCACTTCGCTGTCTGCGCAGGAAACGTTATCTCGCGATTTTTTACCAAGTACAAGCGGAGTGCGTCGAAGACCAGGGAGGTTCTGACAGCAACTGCGGCAGCCGGTGTTGCTGTTGCATTTGGAAGTCCAATTGGTGGCGTACTATTCTCTCTTGAAGTATGCTCACCTTACCTGGCGTTGGAACAACATTTCTGACCTGAAATAGGAAATGTCGTCTTATTTCCCATTGAAAACCTTGTGGCGGAGCTATTTCTGTGCCCTTGTTGCGACTGGGGTATTGTCCGTATGTTTATCCCTTCCCATCCTTTTTTTTTTCCAGTTGAGCATATACTTAAACCCCATAGGTAATGAATCCTTTCAGAACCGGGCAACTTGTCATGTTTCAAGTTCAGTATGACCGGACTTGGCATTTCTTCGAGTTGCTATTTTTCGTCATTATTGCTATTTTTGGTGGATTGTATGGAGCGCTAGTGATCAAGTGGAATCTCCGTGTTCAGGCATTCAGGAAGAAATATCTCTCGCAGTATGCTGTCGTTGAATCTGTGGTCTTGGCCGCGATCACTGCTGTGATCTGTTTCCCGAATGTGTTCTTGAAAATCAACATGACAGAAATGATGGAAGTGCTGTTCCAGGAATGCGAAGGAGATCATGACTACCACGGACTTTGCCAGTGAGTACTCTCCAAACTCAGTTGACTGCCTTGCTAATGAAGTAGAGCCAAATATCGTTGGTCAACAGTTGCATCCCTGGCTACTGCGACAGTTTTACGGATATTATTGGTGATAATATCCTATGGTTGCAAGGTACCTGCTGGGATCTTTGTTCCGTCAATGGCGGTTGGGGCATCTTTCGGTCGCATGGTCGGTATTATGGTCCAAGCACTACATGAATCGTTTCCAGATTCAAGGTTCTTTTCAGCCTGCGAACCTGATGTTCCTTGTATTACTCCTGGAACGTACGCATTCCTAGGTGCAGGTGCCGCTCTGAGTGGAATAATGCACTTGACTATTTCGGTGACCGTCATCATGTTCGAATTGACTGGGGCTTTAACCTATATTCTTCCCACCATGGTATGCAATATAGTTTCCCCAATTTTGCTCTGACTAACAAGTCCAGATCGTGGTTGGTGTGACGAAGGCTGTCAGTGATCGCTTCTCAAACGGCGGCATAGCTGACCGCATGATTTGGGCCAACGGGTTTCCATTCTTTGATAATAAGGAAGATCACGTTTTCAATGTTCCCGTTTCTCATGCCATGACGAGCGACCCCCTTTCTCTTCCGGCTTCCGACTTCCCAGTGCGCGAAGCAGAACATCTCTTGAGCGATAACAAATTCCAGGGTTTCCCTATTGTTGAAGACCGCTCAAGCAAAACCCTGGTCGGTTACATTGGCCGTACAGAGCTCCGTTACGCCATTAGTCGAGCTAGGATTGGAGGCATGATGTCCCCCAATGCTCAATGTGTATTCACCAAAGAAGCAGCGGAGGCTTCGGTGGCTCGTCGCGCCTCGCGCACACATTTAACCCCAGATACTTTCGACAATATCCAGAGCAGTTCCGGGTCCAATTTTGTGGACTTTAGCAGATACGTCGACCACACTCCACTAACTGTCCACCCCCGGTTACCATTAGAGACTGTTATGGAGATCTTCAAAAAGATGGGGCCACGTGTTATTCTGGTAGAACACCGTGGGCGAGTTACTGGGCTCGTCACGGTCAAGGACTGCCTCAAATATCAGTTTAAGGTAGAGGCCGAGGAGCAAGCACTGGCGGCGACACAGCAAGCAGAGCTTCCTCTAGGAGTGTACCAAAGCGCAAAAGACACTGATACGCTAGAAGAACGCATTTGGAACTTTATGCGGAATATTGGATCCAAGTTCTCCAAAATGTCGGGACGACCACGAGATGTCAGGCCTATCCCGCAAGAGGATCGATCTCCATCTACCATATTAGCAGGGACAGAGGACGACGATGCGGACGACGGCATGGTCGAATTGGAAGAGAGGCATTAAATGTACGAGAATGTGCGATGTATACTATACAATGATAGACGGACCACAGTCCAAACACACGGTAATTTATATCCTAACTATATAGACCAAACCAGGGTCCCAAGATAATCCATTTAATTATTAAGGCCATCATACTCAAAGAAAGGCTCACGCTGACTCCTCCCTCATCCCAACAAGAATCCCCCCAGCGGCCAACATCGCCGCACCCAACCACCATAGCCCAGCGACTTTCTCCTGAAACACAGCCATTCCTAAGAACGCGGTCACGAGGAAATTAGCCGACGTATTCGTAATCGACACCTTGGTTGTTGACGGCGCCGCCGTCAAGGCTCGCGTGAACAGCGCCCACATTATTACGTTGCATAGAACATTGAGGCCCAGGCAGATCTGTGTTTTGTTAGCTAATGTTTCACCATACAGGGTGATAGTAGAATAAGAGGAGAGGGGATGATGGGATATAAAAAACAAGGAAGACTCACCCCCCTGACAACAAGGAGGAGGAACGGATGGTCATCGACACTCGCACCAAAGATAGACAGAATTGCATTTGCAAAAGAGGTTGTTTGCTCGTCTGTGGTACTGCGCATTCATACTATTAGTTCATATTCGACAACCCTTTATTTGGGGTTCCTTTTGGAGACAGTACAGTTTTGCGAAGAGACCGTTCAGCGCGGCGAATGCGCCGGAGGCGACGGCGAGAATAATCCAGCGGGATTTAGCCTGGGGCTGGGTTGTTGGTTGGGGCATTATGTATACTATTATAATGTGAGAAGGAGAGATTGGGATAGTTGGCCTTGAGGTGGAGTTGCGATTATTGAGACATGGTCGGGAAGGCGATCTTGTTGCCGGAGCTTCTGCCAAGTATCGGATACTGCGCCGATCGCCTGTATAGTACAACGTCCACAAGTATAGCTGCTGCACAAACTAGAAATCATTGTGTGGTTGGGTTCTGTATTATCTATTCTACAACTCATTTACAGCTCTGTTCTATCGTAATTTTCGTATCATGGTGAAAGACGCTCAATCCGCCATTCATACGACGATTCGTCCGTGCCATGAATCCGCACGTACCGGAATCGATCATGTAGTCGACTGCGACGGCCCTGCCAGAACTCCACTGACTCCGGAATCAAACGTACGCCTCCCCAGAATGGAGGTAGAGGGATGTCCCTTGTATCAGCAAACCGCGTCTCCATCTCTTGCACCCTCTTCTCCAACAGCTCACGCCCATCGTCAATATCCGTCTCATTAACATCATGAGGAATCTCAGGATAAACGATCGAGTCCTCACCGGGCCCAAAGCTCTTTCGTCGCCGACTCACAAGACTATCAGGCTCAGCAGACCAAAGTACTTTGCTTTGCCAGCTAGCCCAGGCCCCAATCTGGCTCCCGCGTTCCCTCGTCCGCCAATACAGCTCGCTCTCCTCGCGACTCAACGGCTCAACTATCCCTTCGATCCGGACTTGGCGTTCTAACACCGGCCAGCAGAATGTCAGCGCAGCCCATTTGTTTCCTTGCTGCTGTAGCCCCAAATCTTGGACCAGCGGCTCATCCACCCCCGATGAAACAGGCATCGCATCGGGAGCACTACTGTCAGCATTGTCGCTCCCGCCCGACCCGAAAACCTGCCCGCCTTTTCCCTCCCGACTGCCCCAATTGCTGTATACCGTCCAACCTCTCTCATCCAACTCCTTGAGATACACTACACGAGCACTCACACGGCCCGATGGGAGAGACGCCGTGGCAAGTGTGCACGTCTCCGGCGCCGACGAGAGCTCTAATCGAGGGTCACGAAACCAAGCATGGAACTGGTATAGCGGGTTTGTCGGGTGCAATTGGGAGACTGTGAGCGGGGGATTGCGCACGAACTGGTGTGCACGCGCAGGGTTGGAGACGACTTTGTTATCCAGGGCTGTATGAGGGGTCATTGTATCCGCTCGTAGAGTTTCTGCGAGAAGTCGGGTTGGGAGGGCTGACGCGGTGGTGACCAGCTCGGATTGCTTGGGGGTTTGGGACTGAGACGCGGCTTCGATATCACCGGGGGCAACTGAGAGTATAAGAGGTTAGCATTCTTCGGCTTTTGTTTAATTTGATACGAATATAAAGAGACGTACATATTAGCTTCTTTGGCCGCTTATGCTCCGGGTTTGTAGAGTCCATGGCCGAAAAATGGGAACGGCTGGTGTGATAGTTGCGACGAGGCAGGAACCAACGTAGAAGAGATCTAGCGGGGGTGTGCAGTCGATGGTGACTCATAGAAGAAAGACAACTCCAAAGATCTGAAACAAACCGAGTGTATATTTCCACAGGAAATCGCAATGGCGCAAAATGGGTGTACGAGAGAGAAGGTGGGATGGTGTTGGAGAGGAGGTGGGGGAATCGGGGAAACCCGCCATAGCACTTATGACACATACAACATCACACCCATTAACATGGGTGACCTCCAAATATATGCAACTTTTTGATTGATTTAGATCTTGATGTCATTTTATCATCATGACATGAGAGTTGAGAGTCTCTATCGAACAAAGGAAATAATGAAAACAAAAAAACAAAAAAAAAAAAAAACCCAAAGCCCAAACGGTGGTATAGGTACAAAAATGCCATAACGCCATCCCCCGCTGAATGCAAATATATGTTCAAATAAATATGTAGAGCTCTTGGCAATCAAGTGCCTCCCAGTATCTGTGCAGTCATTAGCGGGCTGGAGAGCTAGAAAAGTCCGGGTCCAGCCCTGTATGAATGCGATTATTTTTTTTTGAAAGAAAAGAGGCAACTTTTATCGTCAAGGAACTTTGAACAGCCACCCTAAAGAGTAGCTGTGACTGCACCATTGCCCACAAGATCAGCGATCTTGTGAGCCACGGCCGAGGGATACCCGCGAGAGAGCATCTCCTGCACCGTGCGAGAAGCACTCGCATGGTCGTCGGCGGCCAAGAAAGCACGAGTCATCGCCTCGTACGTGCTTGGTTCCCGCTTTTCAATTCCAACACTGTTGTAGACGGTCCTGGCCTTCTCGACATTGCCCTCTGCTGCCCATCCGTGGATGAGGGTGTTTGCAATGTACGCGGTCATTTCCACCCTACGCTTAGCCATGTCCTCAACGATCGCTTCGGTTTGTGCAACTTGGTGATTGGCCACCATGGACTCGAGGAGGGCTTGGTACAAACAAGGCTGAACGCGGACCTTGGAGTTTGACACTGCAGACTTGAACACATTGTGGGCAGCTTCCATGTCCCGCATCACACAGCCCTTGGCATGAATGAGCGACGCGTAATGAACGGCTTCTGGCTCTTGTCCCGACGCCTTGACGGTCTCGAGAACTTTCTCCGCAGCTGCCATGTCCACAGGTTCCAAAGAGGCATGTGCATCGATAAGGAGCTTGTAAGTATGCATAGTCGGCTTGATGTTGCGGCTTAGCATGCGCTCGTAGTAAGCCAAGACCTTGCTGCGATCGCGTTTTGTGTTCAAGAAGTACTGTATCATGGAGTTGTAGGGAGCAGGGCGAGGCTTGTAGTTTGGCATAGACTCCATCTCCTCGAACATCTCCTCCGCAAAGCGCTCATCGCTAACCCGGCAGAGAGCGTTGACGATAGTTCCATATGTAACACTGGTAGGACGAACATTGTTGGCACGCATCTCCGCGAAATACTGAAGGCAGTCATCAATACGACGGGCTTTTCCGAGCTTGCCAATGAGAGCGTTGTACAGGAACGATGTTGGCTCCACACCCTCTGCGACAGCACGGTGGAAGATCTTCAGCGCTTCTGTAGCTTCATCAAAAGTTTTGGTGGACTCCTTCAGAGTGGTGATGTACAAGCCGAATGTGTTGGCAGATGGAGCAGAGCCAAGTTCGGAAAGCTCGTGGTGATACTTGGCAGCAAGCCCACGGTCTCCTAGGGTCAAGCAAGCGGCAACCATGGCATCGAGGATGGAAGTCCATCCGTATTTGACAGCCTTATACTGAGGGAGAAGAGGAACGTCACGCCTGGCCATGCTCAGGACTTCATGTACAAGGTCGACGCGGTTGCTCTTGGCGGCGGCAGCGATGAGTTTCGCATAGGTGATGTAGCGGGGATGACGACCAGCACGTCGCATGTTGCGAAGTCTATTAAGGGCTTCATTGAGATTGGACTCTGGCCGACCGTGGGTGCTCTCAAGTCCATCGGCAATCATCGCTGATCCTTTGAAGTCGGTTGCATAAGCGTAAGGGTCAAAGGTGTCCTCGCTGGGAGCCGAGCTCATACTAGACATTTCAGAAACAGGAGTATGAGGTCCAGAGACATAGGTAGACGGGCTAGAGACCAATCCCAGGTAGCTGTGCCATCGGTGGACCATGTCAGGTCGGCTAGTGAACAGCTTGTTGACCGCTTGATCGACAAGATTGACGGTAGTGGCGTCCATAGCAAGACCTGTTGCCAAAGCAATATCCAACATGTGGGAGAAGCGAATGGGGTGGGCAGCATCGAAAGATATGGCGCTGTTGTTTACCAAGATACCAGCCTGGACTTGCAAAGCAAGAGCCAGGTCGCGAGGGCTGAGCTGGGAAATTTCAAGAGGCCCAAGGAAGGCAACAGCGTGTTCAACGACAGGCGATATGAGACCGCCATTCTCTACCATCAACCAGAGAAGGGACATGGAAGCTTGAGGCGAAAGGACGGTAGCACCCTGGACAAGAACGCGACTGAAAAGGTGAATGCACTCGTTGATCTGTTCACGAATTGTGTTGGAAGACGAGTTGTTGTAGGAGCTGCGAATACGGGCAAACATATTCCGCGCCTCAACGAGAGACTCATCAGTGTGACCACTCTTCAGAAGAGCAACAGCATACATCACGGTCGGCTGTACCATATCCGAAGTTGCCTGACCCACAGTGCTTAACATGAGCCACAGGGATCGGGCAGATGACACATTGCCGTCGCGTACGTGCAGAGCCAACATCGAAATGGCAGGTTTCTGTCGTGTCTCCACGTCCTTAGGAAGAAGATCGTATGCTTCGGATGCAATCTTCGAGTTCCCGAAATCGGCCGCGGTTATGCAGATCTGCGACATGGCCTGATCCAAGGCCCCGTCGCGCAACCGGTTCTTGGCTTCTTCAAGTGCCTTTGCATGATCACCCGATTTAAGAGCGTGTTGCACAAGAGCATCGTTGATGATAACGGCTTCAAGGGCCTCTTGGCGTGTTTCACGGTTTTCCGTCACGTCGTCAAAGGAGGAGCGGATCCGCTCGAGAAAGCGCATTGCATTTTCTTCCTTGTCGCAGGAAATATATGCCTTGATCAAAGCCGCGTAGACCTGGCCATCCAAGCGCTTAACGATACAGAATGTACCACTGTCGTCGGATACTGCGAGTGATCGGTACTCGTTGTAGCACTCCACAGCACTTGTCAGGTCGCCAGAGGAAGCGAAAGCCTCGATCATCGACGGGAAGATAGAAGCGTGAGGTGTAACTTTGTGCGATTCCATGTGCGCATACACGCGGATCATCCCTTCCACATTACCCTCATTGGCGCAGGCCGTGATCAGATAGCGGTAAATGTCAAGAGGGAAGACAATGTCCGCATGTCGGGAAGTGGCGGTGTCGAACAATTTCATGGCAATTCCAAGAGAATCATCCTCGGTAAGGATGGCCTTTTCAAGCTCACTTGAGTGTAACATGAATTTTCCAGGTTCCTCCATTCCTCCATAACGGACCCTCTCCTGCTCTAGCACCTCCATTGCCTTCATTGCATCGTGGGCACGCATCACGAAAAGCTGAACGAGCATCTGGTATGTCTGTTCATCGGGAATTACCCTGCGACGAAGCATATCCGAGTAAACGTCGAGTGCCTTCGGGATCGCCTGTGATAGATCATCGTGCAGTTCGATAGCCGAGTCCAACAAAGCATTGTAGGCAGCAACGGTCGGGGTGAGACCATCTCGCAAAAGTGCTGCAAAAGCGCCGGGAATGTCCGCAAACTTCTTGTCGGAGGCTAAACGCACAATCTGCTCAGAAGCACGACAAGATTCCTCCGTCGCAAAATCCCCAACAGCGGCAACATCATCCGGTAGATCAGGGAAGGCCTCTGTGGCAGAAGCATCCTGCACGTCGGAAGCTTCCTCCGCTTGAGCCTGCTCCTCCTGTATTTGAATCTCCCGGGCAACGGCCTCTTCCACCTTTGCACCGACGTCAGCATTGGCAGACGCCTGTGTAAGATGGGGCGAACGGTTGAGATCAGCGCGGGCGGTCGGGGACAGATCGTGTTCATCCTTCTCCGTGCTCGCCTCCTCCTCTGTCAGCGGTTTCCAGCCGACTCTCCGTTTCAATTGCAATTGTTTCCAGTCGCTGTCATCGCCGGTCTGCTGGGCCTGCTGCCACGCCGCATAGTACGCGGCTAACCCAGCATCTCCGCCGCCCGAGCTGCCGTGGCTGGCCTTTGCGCCAGCACCCGAACTCGACGGTTGGAAAACATGTTGTAACTGAGTAGTACGGGAGAATTTTGCCGGGTTAGCGGTGGTAATGTGATTTAGTGTTGTCGACGACGCGTAGGATGACTGCGACGCCGCGACTACCGATTGAGCATAGCCATGAGTAAAGGCTTTGGTGAAACTCTGACGCGCGATATGGGTAAACGGCTTGAAGACCATTTATCTTGCGGGGGACCTCTTCATCAAGGGGAAGAGGCAGCACTACTAGGTTGTTAGCAAGTCCAGAACTGAAGTTTCCGGGCTTGTGGCCGGAATCGTGGAGATTTGTATTTTTGGGTTCAAAGGTACCTTATAATCGGGACAAAGATGGTAATGCAGGTTCATTTGACGACGGGGTCGCCAAAGGAACGCGCGGGGTAAAAGAAGGGAAAGATGAAGGTTGAAAAGGGAAGACGGGGACGTCTTCTCGGCGACAGAAAAATGTAGGATGGAGTTTGACGAGACAGGAATCGAGGGATATTTTATGAGAAGGGGAAAAGGAACTGGACGAGTGGTCGCGTTGGCTCTCGACCCAAAGTAGACTAGCGTGGATCCAGAGTTCCAGAATTCAATCTTGTGCTTTTCGTCAGCAGCCAATCGCCGCCGCGGTAATGATTCAGGGGATGTGATATCGATGACTGTTTCAGAGGGATGGATGTCTCTGCCCTTTCTTCCAGTGTTGATGGTCCCAATTATCTACGGGGCCGTTCCTGCTGGAAGCATCTACAGTACTTTTAACGGCTGCGGAAAAATCTGACACGCAGGCGATTCCTAATCAACGCGAGCAGGACGTCACAGCCCTGAGTTCTCGAAGAGTCGCCGGAAGTTGAGGGAGTTGGGTCAGGTGGCCACTCAGCCCCAGATTTGCACCCGCGGCCAATCGGCTCGGCGCTGACACTGGAGCCTAAGGAAGAAACAGGAGCCGGATCTCTGGGTTCCTGGTTTCTTGACAGCCTTGACAGTCTGACTCACCTCTGTCCCGACTCTTTTTCTTCTGCTTTTCTTCCGCCGGACTTTGGCTTGAACCCCCGTCCTATCACCGATCCATCGCCGGGGATCCGATATCCGACTCCGCCGTTTCGGCGATGACTGCCTGCCGTTGTTGGAGCCTGAGGAACCACATGTACCATGGTCTGCCATCCACGCGATCTTGTATCAAATTCAAGGGTCCAGGGAAGCAAGTCTTTACTCGATCACCGCATTCATCCCACTCAGGCCAACACCTAGCTTTATATTGTAACTTGTAAGAGCAATCACCGACCGTAAACCCCTTGCTCAACTTCCCGCAGCGCACATGCATCCACCCAAATTGGGGACTGGATACGGAACCTCGCCCGCGGGCGGACGGCAGACGTCACCAACTGGTAACCTAGTTTCCCGAGTTTACGCATAACTCTTCCCCGTGAAAATCGGAGGCCTCCACAGAGATTTCACGATCGTATGATGATTGATGAGGGATCAAAACCAATGGCATCTCGACAAATACGGACTTCTCCAACTATGCAGCCCCTCCCTCTTATCGCGCGAGCAAACGATATAATCTCGGGTCAATTGACAGAAGGCTATTTTTCGTACTTTTAATTTCGGCCATGGTCCAAGACTCAGCCCCAGCTGTACGGTGGACTGCGTAATCTCTCTCCGGATAAACAGTTACTCCCTGTTGCCTGGAATCGATCTTGGCTTCAACCATTTTTCGGGCACTTAATTTACACTAGCCACATTCGTCAGCGCCAGCCACAGAATGGCGGGCACAATTCAAGATGGGTCAGTCGATCATCAAAACAACCAAATTCATGAACTCCATGTTTAGTAGAGGCCACTTTGATGTGTGATGCCTCACGCATCTCCTTGAATCCTTTAAACCCCCGTTCTCTATACAATCCTTGGGTTCCTCATCCTCATCGTGAGCGATCGCCCCCACGAAGCCGCACGAACTTACGCGGGGTTCACCAATATAGTACTTTCTCGACAGCGACCGCTCTTGTTTGGTACTTCCCTCGATGTAGTTGGATTTGCCTTTTATTTCTGAATTCTAATTTTCAAACTAGTGATATTCTCCGTCCTCAGATCTTCGAGCGATCCCTAGGGTTCGTCAGCCCCGCATCCCAAGACTGTACGCTGTCCAGCTCGCCATCATGTCCTATAAATCCTCCGCGACCACCGCCGTATCCTCCCCCGGCAAGGTCCTGCTTACTGGCGGGTACCTCGTTCTAGATCGAAACTACACAGGCACCGTGTTCGCTCTCAACGCCCGGATTCACGTTGTCGTGCAACAGCTCCGAAAGGGGCACCGAAGAGGACAATCTTCCGAGGCCGAGAAAGCGGAAAACGGGAACCCTGATATTGAGAAGGATGGCGAAGACCTGATTGTGGTTCGCTCGCCCCAATTCGTAGATGCCGTGTGGGAATACGGTATCCAACGCTGTGAGAATGGCGGCGGGATTAAGGTCGTACAAAAGAATAACGGGTAGGGTTCTTGACTTTACCACCGGGACGTGGCTAACCACATTAGACGAGGCAACCCTTTTGTTGAAACCTCCTTGAACTACGCCTTGACTTACATCAGTTACGTGGCCGATTCGAAGGACTTTGGCTCCCTATCAATTACGATCCTCGCCGACAACGACTACTATTCCGAAACGGCCTTTTCAAGAGCCGGGGGTCGTAACACTGGGGGATTTGTGAACTTTGGGGTCCCGCTCCACGAGGCGCATAAGACGGGCCTTGGTTCTTCTGCGGCCTTGGTCACATCTCTGGTATCCGCTCTAGTGATCCACCGCACGATGCAGCCTGACGATATTGGCGCGGCTCGTGATAAATTGCATAATCTGGCGCAGGCCGCTCATTGTGCAGCCCAGGGAAAGGTTGGATCTGGATTCGACGTTGCCGCTGCTGTCTACGGTTCCTGCCTCTATCGCAGATTCTCGCCCTCTATTCTGGAGTCCATCGGTGATGCAGGTCGTCCTGGATTCGACGAGAGGCTATTCAACGTTGTGGAGGACGCCGACCCAGAACATCCCTGGGACACAGAGTGCCTGGACTTTGGTATGACCCTTCCCCGTGGGATGCAAATGGTTCTCTGTGATGTCGAGTGCGGTTCCCAAACTCCGTCAATGGTGAAAAAAGTGCTGGAGTGGCGAAAACAAAACAAGCAAGAGGCCGACCTTCTTTGGAACGCTCTCCAGTCGAACAACGAACGGTTATGTCTCGAATTCAAACAGCTGTCGCAGAACCCCGAGAAAGGCTTTGATGACGTTCGTAGTTTGATCGAACGGTCCCGCAATCATATTCGCAGCATGACTACCAAATCCGACGTTCCAATTGAACCAAAGGTACAGACCGAGTTACTTGATGCCATTTCCGAGGTTGAAGGTGTTGTGGGTGGAGTCGTTCCCGGTGCAGGAGGCTACGATGCTTTGGCGGTTTTGATCCGAGATGAAGCAGAGGTCATCGATCGACTGAAGCAGCTTTTTGAGAACTGGCAGAGCAAGGTGGAGGACGATTTCGGAGGAAGCGTCGGCCAAGTTCGTCTCCTTGGTGTGCGCCATGGGTCTCTTGGTCTGGAGAACGAATCGTTGGAGCAATATCGCGTTTGGTTGTAGATAGCGCCCTGAGCCTGTATGGGTTTGCAGCGTCAACCTTTGCCGTCTAGCTTCGGAGCCTTGTTTTCATGGGCGATGACTACTTATGATGTGCATGTTAGACATGAAATAGCATGATAACGAACAAGTAATATAATTCAAAAGGAATGGAAACATGCCAGCCATTCATAAGTTGGCCTGAACGCTCGTAAGAGAGATATCTACCTAGTGCTACCAGTGTATAGCCCTACATCCAGCACGACCATGATCCCTATTGAATATGGAATAATAGCTTCCAATAATAAAGGTTCTAATTAGAATTTACTTAGCTATCTGGAAGACGGGGATACTGCGAGTCGAGGCCTATACACGAGGGACAAAATTCAGTCAGTCGTGCCCATGAGTAAAGTGTATAGAGCGCGGTGAGACTAAATGAGCATCAGAATTAATTTTGCTGGTGTATTTGACCATAGTCGTTGAGTTGGACAAACAAAAGACATGGATAGTTTCTACGACTCTAGTCGATGCCCGGTGGACCTGGAATTGCCGCGCGAGTGTGGGACACCCATCTCTACCTAGGGAAGCTTGATATCCCAAATTGGTCGGCGCGAGATATCGCAGGTGCCTTGGCAAGAGAGCACCTTCCTTGAGGTTTCTTGTGTTCCCGTCAGATTTGGTCAGTGTTACTACCCGATTTCTTCTTTAACTCCCCTCTATCTTATCTTCATTTTGAATACAAGGGTCAGCAATACAGGCCATGGCCCGAGCAACACCAACAATAGCAGCAAGAACAATGACAAGAAAAAAGTACGTGTTATATCTATATACTGTTCATGTACAGTCTATTTACTGTCCGCTACTTACACCTATAAGAACATGAATCGAACAAAGCCCCAACAAGGAGTTTTCGGGTGATGGAGATACTGTTCGGCAGATAAAGGCTGTTCTCAACAACGGAAGGGCAACCAACCGTCCCGTGATGCTAGCGGTCAACGATTGGGATGGACTTTCTACCAATTCGGTAGCTCTGGTTAATAGCTTCCGTCCCTACATCAACGAGGGCCAGATAACTATGGTTATCTGGTTGCAGGAGCTCCAGGTATTCCGAAAGGTATCTGTGAAACATGCCATTATGATGCTCAGTGGCGAGTATGAAGGTGATGTTGACGATTTCGATCTTCCGTGGGCTACAAAGGAGTATATCGGTAAGATCCAAGTCATTGCCGCGTGGAAGAACAATATATCGGTTGATATATTGGAGCTCCGTCGGGAGACCAGGAATCGAACCCGAGTTCCCAGCGTAGACGGCAATAGCTGGTTTTGTGAGTTTCCAGACTGTGATAAGGTCTGTCGAACCTCAGAAAGACTTGTGGACCACAGACACCAGCACCACGGCCCGATGTCGCTATTGCGGGAGGGAGTTTACACGCGCTGACCATCGTGGTCGCCACGAGAAGGAAGTGCCTCTCGAAAACCCTACTGTTCGCGCAGCGAAAGAAGCTGAGCCTCCGAAGAAGCGTGCAAAGCGCAGCTCCAAGTCGAAAACCCTCCAGCGGGAACAAGGTTTTGAAGCATTAGACGACTCCCCCCTTATCAGTTGATCCAGCAAAACACCTGGAATATTCCCAGGGTCGATAAGGATGCACCGTTCCCAGAGAGGGTGGTTTACAAATGGAGGTGTTCTGTCGTTTCCCAGGATGTTGTTGGAAGGTCAGTCAACCCTATCCCAAATCGAATTGAATGCGACTAACTATCCTCTCAGACAAGATTCTCGGAACCAACGAACCTCCGTGACCATTATCGCCTGAAACACGAAGGATGGACATACCCCGCGCAGGCTCCTGGAATGCTCGATCCTATTGATAGCAAGTTCCATGACGACGGTCTGGGGTACTTGACTCGATGCGCTCACTGGGGGTGGCAGCATCCAAACACCGGATCCCGGCGGAGCGGACAAGTCGACGTTAGTTCGAGAGGATGGCAAGCCAGTTGAGTGGAATGGTTTCAATGATTGCTGTTTTCACTTGTATGGGATTGTTATTGTATTTTAAAACGACGTTGATGTCTTCGAGTTCGCTTCAATTAACGAAGCACCTCCATAACTGGAGCACACTATACGGGTCAATTGAACTTGAATTGAATTGAATTGGAGAAACGCAGGGATAGTTGAAGCCGTCGAGGGTTGAAGTCTGATCTCCAAGAGCGCAAAGAGCGCGAAGAAGACCCTGCAGGTTGCACCAATATCGAAGTTGGTTCTATTACTATATATAATCAGGGGATAGTATAATAGAGGTATAGTACTATAGAAGTAAGATAATATAAATAGCTTTAGAGCCTATAAAACTGCTATTGAAATCGAATAGTATCTTCTCTCTATTATAGTAAGCGGTTGGCCGAGCGCAGCGAGGTCCAAGCAAAGTGCGGATGTCAACTTGTGCTGCGCGATGGGGATTGTAGGTACACATTGGGCATCGTTTGGAGCAATCTGTATGCGTCTTAATTTCGGACAAGTTCTATATAAACCGGTAATTAGTATCGCAAATAATACTTAACAGTTCATCGCGACCATCTTCACTTCTTGCCGGGCTTTTTGTTGTTGTTACGTATTGTCGTGTCGAGCAGAAAGAACCTGGTCTTCGGAGAATCTAAATGTCCGCCGCCCTTTCCTCACGCGCCAAAAGCCCTCTCAGCAGTACGGCCAACCCGTGACCACGCTGCAGCCCTAACCACTTTTGGGATGCGAATCGCTTCATTATTAGTATGCGATATATAGACCGTTTAAAAATTTTTAAATCGCCCAATCAGCATGTTAGCTCAGGGGAAGAGCGGTATTTCTACCACGTGACCCTATATTCGATTGATTAAATAACTAACATGATATAGCCGGGCTCATAACCCGGAGGACCCTGGATCGAAACCAGGACATGCTATATGCAGTCAGTTTTTGAGTGCGGAGACCTTTTTTGTACTATCCCCAAATGGGTTGGATAGGGCATGCATTCCTGGTCAGATTAGGTTGATTGGTCTTTGACCGCTGTGGAGCTTTAGTTGTGCTGTCCATATATAAGTCCAGTGATACGACTATAGACAAACAATGCATATGAATTATTGATTTATTTTGCTATTCTACAGTAAGGAAACAGTAATACAGTGTCTAAATTTGCGTGCTAATATATAACAAAGATCTATGTAACAGGTTGGATTCACCGTGAGCGGGCCAAGGCAAGAACTATACTCATCACAGCGGCACCGGCCGCAGCACTAGTGGCAGCGATTATAGAGAGATCGCGATGCGCAATTGTGACGGTTCGTTCGCCAAGAAGATCCTGTGCATACTGATGCCATGATGCGACGGTGTTAGATGGTGGGAATTTTAGTGGAAGTGGGTTGGACGATTCGAAAGTGTCGGTTACTGCATTTTCCGCGGGCCGTTCTTCGGGCTTTGTTGTTGCCACAGTTGAACCGACAGTCACATCAGAGGGAGCTTCCGAAGCGAGATTGCTTGTAGAGGATGAGGTGTCCGAAGCAGCTGCCACTGCTCCTGCAGTGGTAACAGGTGTTTCGCCAGAGGACAGAGGCTGGGTGTGTGCTAGGACTTTCTCTTTCTCGATAGCTTCCAGGACCTTCTCCTCAAACCCCTTGACAAGTCTCTTCCGGCGCCAGGGCTCAACTCCGATCTGGAAGATGAGGAAAAGAAGGACGTTTACTCCCATCAGGCCCCAGGTCCCCCATGTACTCATACGACGAATCTTGTCCGACCAGACTTGTTCTTCGTGGTAGCGAGAAAGAATATTCTTCGTAAGTTGGGCAGCAGCCTCTTCCGACTCGCGTTCAGCCGCCGACAGGGCTTCCTGTGTTTCGTTCTCGGACACTTCGTTTGTATGGTCATTGCGATACAGTAGTGTAAACCGTTCCAGGTCTGCCGAGGACCAGGCGTGCTTGCGTTGTAGTAGCTCGTTGACTTCGCGCTGCGAAGTCGAACGTCGGTTTATGGCAGCCGCGTAGGCTTCTTTCGCAGTTCGGACCTTCACGCGAGCGGCTCGAAGTCGGTCCTCTATGGAAAGGTGGTCAGTAGGAGCTAAGGGGTTAAAAATGGTGACTCAGAGTTAAAAACCGACCTTGTTCGTGTATACTACGTTTGAGGGCCTCGATTGACGAATATCCTGTCAAGTCGTTCAGCCGCTGGCCCGCGACGAAGACATTCGACTGCAAATTGTCCATCACCGTGGAAAACTGCTTCGAAAACTGCGACCGTCGGTCCTCCAGATATGAGGGAAGGCCTCCAGACTCCGACCGACTGGTATCAACCTTTTCCTTCCCCTCCTGTCCTTGTGTATGTACCGTGTCCGCGACCTGCGGAGTTTCCTGGACCCCCGCATCTGTCTCTCCCTCCCGACTAGTCGCCGGTGTAGCTATGGGACTCTCCACATATCTTGACTTCTCTTCGGGCTTCCCGTCCGTCGACCTTTTTATTTCGTCCGAGAATAAGGCGGGTTGTGATCGGAATTGGCATCGTAGGCAGACGGAGAAATCTCGCCGTGTATTTCCGGGGTAGCGAAGAGGTTTAGGGAGAGGAGATGGAGAAACTGGCGACCGCACTGGTAAGGACGTCCGAGATGTAATTATGCTCGTCCGTAGAGACTGTCTAAGCAGCCATGGTATTGACTGCATTGTGGTTGTGAGCGGTCGCAAGGACCATCGAGTGTTGTTGGGTTGTGACCGGGTAAGTTCCAAGGTCGGCGGAGAAAGGTCGGCGGCTCTTCCGCGCAGAACCACATGTGCTCCTGTAGTGCCGACCATGTCCGGGAAAAAGTTGCATCAATTTTAATACACTCGTGATAATTAAATTTATGTCCGGGATATCAAGTCTAAAGTACCAATCAAATACGGGTTTAGTCGTGGGCAAAGTATTCGTGGTGCAGCACGGTTATGTCATCGCATAAAAATGAATATACACCGAGTTATGTACTAATATACAAGAAGCGCTTCGATAGCCACAATAAAGGCATCAGGAAAGACCAATAACGCATGACATTCACGCAAACAATCCATAACACATCACAACGCTCATCACTAATAGTTTGTTCAAAAGGGTTTCTAGGTTCGGGTAGCGGGGGTATCAAGGTGGTGTAGCTGTATTTGGTTCTTCATGTCGACGTCTTAATCCTGGTTCTGTACTTTGTTATCTCCCTTGACAGCTTCAGCATACGTAGGGGGCGGGCGGGCCTCGTCATGCCCTTGGCTGCTGCTGCCAGCCGCACTCTGTTCCTGTTGAGGTTTAGGTGAGGACTGTGATGGTTGTGGCCGGGATTCTGGGGCTTGCTGCGGGGCTAGAGTGCCGTAACCTCTCTGAGATGGGGACGGGCCGGACTGGTGAGAAACGTAGTAGTATGTTACGTGTCCGTTCTCGACGTCCCCTCTCCCGTTGGGGACTGACTCGTACGATGGGTCGTCATAGTCCGGCTCAGGGTATTTGAGGATGATGTACCAGGCATGAAGGAGGCCAGGGATGTATCCAAGGCAGCAGAGGGCAATGTTGATGATGGAATCAGCCGTGCAGACACCTAGTTTAATCCACACTGCGAGTATGAAGTTAGCTGACAATTTGACCACGGAGCAGAGAGTCGCTTTACCTGATACAGGTGGGAAGAATACTGCCAGAATGGCAAGAAACAGGTCAGAACCACACATGATTACTGGTTAGCAAGTTTTCAGGGGGCGTGCAGGTTTGAATTAAGATGCAGGATTTGGCTTGAACAACGAGTCTGGGGTTGCAGATGGTGATAAAAGGAATGACGGACGGCTGCCTACGGCGGGGATGCTACAAGACTAAGCCACAGTCAGATGAGGTCACTTCGTCCAGGTCACGTGATTTACAGAGCCCCAGGTTAAATTATGCCACATATCTATGCCACATGACGCCAAGATTCAATTGTAAGGACTCAAGACTCAGACCCGAAGGATTATACGGTGCGTTTACTACAAGAAAACATACTCTTTGAAGTTAGAGGAATATTAGGCGAATTAGCATGCAAAAACTGAAAGGAACATGGACGGAGCGGACGGGAGAAGCCTAAAAAAGGAATGACGGCATGTGCTGGTTGCAGGCGTCATAGCCCCGTCGATACGAGAAAAGCGGCGATCAGAAAAAGGCATTTCTGATTTTCCTGGCTGGCCCGACTGACTTCGTGAGGAATAGACCGGATAGACTCCTCCGTAGTCGACATGGATAAATTATAGACGCCGTTGGCAACCGATCTCCCAACTCAACCCACAACTCAACTTGTGCCGACAGCTCCTATATTCGGTCTAGTGTAGCTTCCTATTAAGTACTAGGCGCAATGATGTCTCCACAGTTGAGTTGTGGGATCTGTTCCTCAAGGTGCCGAGTTATTGCCACGTTCGGACGCTCTACAGAAAACGCACTCTCAGGGTCGGCCGGCTTGAGACCATGGCCCGATTAAAAGTACAATGCAGCACCAAATTGCAAACAGTGCACTGCCCAAAAATAAGAAGGAAGGGGGTGCAAACCAGTGAGAACCCACGTTTGAAGGCAGCAGCAGTTCATAGACAGATCCGAAAACAAAAAGTTGATTTAGCATGTCCTGGTTTCGATCCAGGGTCCTCCGGGTTATGAGCCCGGCGCTCTTCCCCTGAGCTAACATGCTTGCTTGTTGGAGATGATTGTGGAATGCAGGGTTTCATGCGAGTTTGTGGAGGGTCTTAAACGCTGGATGGAAGTCCTTAAACTGGATCCTGGTTTAGTCCCGCCAGTTAGGTCGAGCCGCTAAGGTTGTGGGTCCATTAAGGTTTGGGCCAATGAAAGGCGGCATTGACGCGGGAAGCTGGTCTTGGACTAACCGTATCTGGATAAGCGCCAATTTCACGCCCCACCTCACCCATGAAGGACAGATGATGTCGTCAAGCATCATCTCAAAGCTGCTATTTGGTACGATCACCAAGTCTTCGTGAGTAGGGTCTCGGTGATAACTGGGGGATTCGGTAGAATACAGGGTACCCTTGGTAGATGGGGTATGTGGTGGTTGATCAAAAATTTAATCATCTCACATATACTGCTGCCAAATCCCTCACTCCAACCAGATTGGGTTGAGAGGGTAAAGCATATATTAGGTCTTTTCCATTTTAAATAGAAACTCATCTTATTGGCGATGGCTGACGGACTTGATGGCTGGTGCTATCGACATTGATGCCTGTGTTTGAGTTTCGACCACGGTCCATTGACTATGGGCAATTAATCCCATGATAATACAACCGGTAAAGGAGCACTGGTATTATCAATATTTTCGCCTGGCTATTTCTATGACATTGGATGTAGTTGATCCCATCTTAATTGAAGCTACCCCTCTACGATAAGGCCGGCGTTGGGTACAGGCGATACGAGCAGCCCACATATATATATATATATATGTGTAAAACCCCACGAAATTTCGTCCACTATATATCTGCGATGACGCAAATACTACGAACGGGCGAACAACCAAGTTGGAAAGGCAGTTCTCGAATTTCGACCAGCACATCACATAATTGCGACATCAACGGCAGGGGCTCGACGTGGCGCAATGGTAAGAGACTAACTCTGGTAGGAGTCGCTGCCCACGTGGAAGAGAAGCCCAAAGATTCACTCACTCACCCAATAGGCCAATAGTACCTGTCCAATACACGGAAAACATAAGCCATTAATTATCTAATCCAGAAAGAAGAGACTCCCAGTCTCCAATAGCTAAGCGAACGAGAAATGGAGCCTGGATTCAGGATTATTGACTGCCGAGAGTAAGACTTCCAGAGGCCAAGGCAAGAATTGGGATCAGCTCGATTTCAGTGGCCGTGCATGGCGAACTGTCGTCCTGCAGAACCTGAAACAACGGACCTGGAGGTCGGAAATGTGATACGAATAATCGAGCAAGGACGGAATCAGAAATAGAAACCTTGCAGTGACCCTTGCAAATGCAAATAAATAGTACACTGGAATAAGCTGGACGTCGGAAATTCTGCATTCCGTCCCCTGGGACAGCTTCTCTGGTAGACCACCGAAAGCATGGCCCGTTCGATTCCACAAAACTCTATCTGTGAAGGTTTCGTAGTGCGAGATGTATCGAAAGCCTTTGATGGCAGTTGTGTTGGACGTCGGCCACGTCAATTGATTACCGCTGGCACAGGGCGGCTTGAATACAGGTCACAGCTCCCGAGTTACAGAGTAGACTACAAATCTCACGCTTCATCGCAGCGTGGATTGCGCGGTTCTGCCCAGGTTCCCCGCTCGATCTGTGTCCGACAGAGATTTGCCGACCCTGGCCCGAGTCGTGCAGCTTAACAAACCACAAGGGCTGATAATAATGATGGGTATACAAGCAAGGCAGGCCATTTCCTGTTGTCGCCATCCCCATTGACGCCCAACCCGTATAAGTAGACTCGAGCCTTGCTGAATCGCGGTGGAATTGAGGGGATCGTACTCCGTAAAGTCAGATCGAATTTGTTGTTGAACTGCCCGAACCGTCTAGCTTGTGCAAGAGTGGACTGGTGTGGAGGCTGGTTAAATTGCACTCTGGCAACAGGCAAACCTCCAGCCAGCCGTGCTCCCCCCTTTTGAGCTCCAGGTCAACCTTGCTGCAGCCTGGCCCTCGCTTTCGATTTCCTCTGTCCCTCAAGTTCCGCATCAAAGGGCTTTCTCGCCTTGCTTTCAGCCTCTCTGTGCGACCGGGATCTGAGTGCACGACCGCAGGCGCCTGGATCCTTTGTCTGTGCAGGAACACAAGCGAACCCCAGCAGGGAAATCACGGGCCCATCGAGTTTTATTTACGGATTGGACCAACGGGCGGACTCCAGCGACTTCCTGCTTGGTTTAGTCTTGGTTCTTCCCCCGATCAGCGCTGCCCTTGTGTTCCTGGCCTGTTCCCAGCATCGAGTCAATTCGGCTCCCTGATCTTGCATCCCCTTTGCCCACTGCGTGGTTCTCCGTTCTTATTTTTGCAACCGCTCCCCTGGTGTGGACCCCGTCACTCGTTTGCTTCGATTCTTCACCTCCTCCGTGGACCTTTTCCTTTCTCTTTTCTCCTCTTTCTCGCTTCTTTTCTGCCCTTTCGAGACTCGGGTCTCTGCCGCTCGTTTACCGGTTCAACGCGATCTGCACGGAGGTGATCGTGTGTCTAAAAATCCAAGAGAAACCGGTAAACAGACGAGCGGGACGATACAGCATGATAGAGCCCTGCCACCAGCTCACCTGTTAAGTTGACTATTGGATTGTGAAGAACCCGCTTCCGCGAATCAACCGGAAGAGTATTCACAAACGGGCAAGGAACACCATGTCCGACTCGTGCATCCCGTTGTCGGGCTCAACCCAATGCCCTGCGTTCAATGGCTCTTCGATCTCCACAAACTCCGACCTTCACAATGACTTGTAGGTTTAGCAACCCAGAAGGCAGAATCCCACGCGCTGACCCGTTTTTGCACAGTCCTTTTTTGCGAAACGTCTCGAACCTAGACGACTTTGACAAGGCACTTGAGAGCTACGTATTGGGGTCGTACATTCAGAATAAGTGAGTTGACTTTGGCTATGAGACGTGGAGACGTGTAGAGCTAAACATTGCCACAGATATGCTGTCTACCTGGGATGTCAAGGTGATCTCACCAATACTAGCGAATACTATGCGCGCTATACCACAAGCGCCATTTGCAGTGGCCTAGTTCAAAGCTCCGCGACGAGCTGCGATTTATCGTCCGAGCAAACACGACCACTCTGCGCCGAGGATTGCGTAAGTCATCTTTCTGACCTCATTTCGGTCAAATTTCTAACACTGCGCAACAGGCATCAATGGCTTCCAGTGAGGAGGAGATTGCGGTTAACGACGAGCTTTGCCCCGACCGACGAGGCGACTATCTCAACCAGGTCCGCGCAGATTTCTCTGTGTGCATTGGGCCTAATGGTGCACTCGAAACATCGTGCGTAAGAGGGGCAGACAATGAACCCAATGAATGCGGCTACCGATCGAATCTTCTCGGGCTTTGCAGCTTTTGCGCGTCGAGCACGACCAATTCCACGGATTCTTGCTGTATAAATGCAAATGCGGCGACTCGATGCGAAGGTGTCGATATCCCAACGCCATCCACGTCGTTTATCCCCATATATACATCTGACGCAGCTTCCGACACCGATTCGGACGGTGGCTTATCCGGTGGCCAGATAGCGGGTATTGTTATAGGTGCTGTTGCCGGTTTCGCGCTTCTGGCCGCTCTGATAGCGTTCGGCTTGATCTACTACTGTCGACGGAAACGTGAGGCTGGGGATGACAGTTCTCTGAACAAGCCGAATCCCCAGAGAAAGGGGTCTCCAATGCAGCAGCCTGAGAGCCCGACCTTCGCCGCGCCTGGACGTGTTGCGAGAATGTCTGCACTACGTGAGGCCCCAAGCCACTCTCCTCGCTCCCGCAATTCGGACGCGTTCTTTGGCAGTGCCAAGTATGGTAGTGATACTTCCGACTCCGAAGGATTTGCAAGCCCTGGGGCCATGCACAAGAAGATTCCGCCCACGACTGGAAAACGACAAGGCTCCCTCTCGAGTAACTCTGCCCTCGCAGGTGCGGGTAGCGATACCTCTCCTCGCTCGGGTACGATTGGGCACTACTCCTCTCCGGAAGGATTGACGAGTGGGCAGTCTGAACAGCTATCATCTTTCCAAGACTACTACTCTCAGGACGACATTCATCCTGGTGACAAGGTTGCAGTGCTTTGGGCTTACCAACCGCGGGCAGGTGACGAGTTTGGCTTGGAACGTGGTGAAATAATCAAGGT